CCATCAAATTTTGAATCACATAGTCTTCCACCTGAACATGGGCACCTGGCAGCCCGAATTTGTTTAATTATCTATTTCTAAGTTTGTAAAACTTTAACAAATTTTTTATTAACAAACCCGACGATTTCAAAGTAAGCAATGACAACACTGTATGGGGGGGGGTATGTGTCATCTCAAGTGCGCAAGACTGTGTATCGGAAATTCTAAACATATGCTCTTTTTAAATATTTTGTGATATTGCTGTTGAATTGAATTTTATGGTTTAAGTGCAAAAAACATTATATTTAATAAATAACAGCACACAAAATGTTAATAATAAAAAGACAAATTTGTAAAGCCATCTTAATAAGAAAAACTGAACATTGATATAATGATCAGAGACGACTTCAAAAACCAGAAACATGTATGCCAGCTCTTAAGGCTGCATTGGGAATTCTAAAGGCATACTGCTTATAAAATTTCTGCAATTTTGCTGTTGAATTGTATATAGTATAAATGTGAAGAAAATTATGCTTAATAATAAAAGCAAACAGATAAAATAAATAAATAAATGGGTTAGTAGGAGTGAGTGAAACAGTAGACTGTAGACTGCGAGCTCAGCAAGAGTGTAAAAAAGGCTTGACAAAGCTTTTTGGGCAACGATTAAAATTTTAAATGCTTTATATTTTGTCTTTTATTCAAGAAAAAGTTATTTTAATTTTCTCCAGTCTTAACATGCTGAAAAAAGCATTATAAATATCACTGTTTGTTAATTAATCAATAATGGCAAATCTTATCAGCTTACAAAATGACTGCTTTCGTGGAGGACTGAAAAGAAACTGGCTTTTATACATTAAACAAACAAACTGTGCAACCCCCAATTTGTTGAGAATCAAACTACTTGTGTTCAGTGGACTTATCCACACACTAGTAGTTACTAGACACAGACGATAGCTGACACAGTTAATGATTTTTGCATGTTATACAAAACAAATTAACTCCCCCCCCCCCCAATTTTTGCATTTTTCGACAAGACCTAGTTACCTGATAGAAGTAAAAGGTTCCAGCTTATCTGAGTAACAACTCTCTATCTCCTTCTTTTTCCCTACCCAATTTGACAATTTTTTTTATTTTCATTTTTTTGGGTAAGATCTTTCTGCCAGATAGAAGTAAAAAATACCATTCTACATGACTACGGTAATTTAAAAGAAGTACAAACTTTATTTGGCAATAATTGTAAATAAAATGAATCAATGTACTTCAAGAAAAAGCAGTACAGTCTTCTTCAAAATCTCCAAACTGGAAGACTGCTGTTTTCACCCAAAATCCAACCAAAATTTATTACTTTTATTCAAAATTTATTCCTTAAATTTAATTCAAAATTTAATCCTTAAATTTCATTACTTTGTTAAACTTCCTGTCGGTTTGCTTTGTCTTACTTGGTAAGCCAAACACTTTATAATTATTCTAACTTGCATATACACAAACGTACAACAAAACCATGCCACATTATCCACTGAATGTACAACCAACTTCTGCATAATGTGACTGACTTTTTTTTTCCAAAATAAATATTGTAATCACAAAAAATCCAGGTATTATAATTCAACAGAAATATCCATTTTGACAATTCCCAAATCTGTGTGCATTATTGAAATAAACGGTACTTCTTTGGATTTTGTATGTGTGTGTTATGTCTGTACATATAAATAGAATAGAGACTCTTTTTTTCAAAATTGGATTTAAACTAGATTCATTTTGTAATATCTATACATATGTATCTTGCATAAATCAAAAGTGATTAGCCAAAGAACATCGTGTTTTTGTATATGGGACTGTTAGTTGTGCATCTCCCTTTTCTATTGCTATTGGCAGAACCTCTGTATTGTAGCTATATACTACCAATTACAGAAGTGTTTTAAGACGTTGATTGCCGTGGGGTCACCGGTGACCAGCACTCGACTTGGCTACAGTGCCATGAGTGCCACCGATGATCACCGACACGACTAATAGTAAAATACATAATTAGAGTAAATATCGATACTGATAAATTGTTAAATAGTTCAATTGTTTCTATAATGGTTTAAAGAATAATAAATCAAAATTTTTAATTGTAAATCGCAATAATGGTCTACAGAGCCTTGAGAGGTCACCGGTGACCTCCACCACAAAAAATGCATTAAGCACGATTATATAACTCACATTCTCTTCTGTAGATAACATTTCAACATAATATACATCACATGATAAAATTTTCAAGTTCATGTCATGGGTAAACCACGTAAAATGTGCACGGCAGTCAACATGTTAAATGACAAAAATATTCGTGTTTTACCAATGTCAAATTTAAAAAAATTTAATTTTCATCAAATAACAAAATCTAACAATTTGGTCTTCCGGTTCCTATACATACATTTAGGAAAGTGTTGCATTAGTTGTGAAAAAATAAAATCAGAAGTTTGACTCTCATCAACAAAAAATTAATCAGAATATTTAATTTCAAAATCTACAATATTTTTATGTCATTTTCAACTTCCGCGAGAAATCAGTTGAATAATCAAAGAAGTACCGTTTATTTCAATATATAATGCACACTGATGTATAACAGGAACCTATAATTTCAAACTATACTTTTTTAATTTTTAGGTTTATTCGAGAAATCAATTTAATAATTCGAAGAAGTAACGTTTATTTCAATATATAATGCACACTGATGTATAACAGGAAACTATAATTTCAAACTATATATATATATATTTTTTAATTTTTTGGTTTATTCACCAACACCCTTTTCTTTGTGAAAAAAAACTGAAAGATATATGTGTAATGCTCTTGTATTTTGGAAGTCACTCATTCAAACCTTTTCCAGGCTTTCAAACAAAGGTATACTGTATTGACAAGTAATAAGAGGAACAATATAGGTGGGGGAGGAAATGCTTGAGATAGTAAATAATTCTGCAAAGAGTATGGGTTCTTTTCAATGCACAAGAATGTTATTCTAGGTTTCGAGAAAATGAGGACATAATTTGAGGGTAAGAAAGCACTTCCAATCCAAATAAATTCCTGGAATTAGGAATCAGATGTTTTCTCTTTCTGTAGTCATTTTAAGAGGGAACATTGAAAGCTTTAGTAAATCACATTTGCTTTGGTTGAAATACAGGTGATCTGCTGTCCTTTTAGTAGCAAATATGGCTCCTTCCAAATGAAACAAACACAGTCCTGGCTTCAAATGCAAAGCCATTCAATTTACAAAAGAAAATGGCAATTGTGCTGCAGCAAGGATGTTTGGTGTTGGTGAAAGCTCCATAAAGAGGGAAAAATGAAATCACAATAATTAATATGGTCAAAAAATAAATGTGCTTTGCGTAAAGAAGTAATAAAATGGCCTATAATAAAAGAAGCTATTACAAACTAGGTTCTAGAAAACTACCAGAATTGTTTAATTGTAATAAGTAACAACATACATTTATTTGCCTTAAAGTGAGCAAAAAAGAATAGAAATGTAATTGAAAATTTTAAAGCAACTTTGAGTTGGTGTAGTCCATTTATGGCATGAAATAATTCAGTTCTATGAAAAAAAAAAAAAAAAAATTGCAAAGGCATTTGAAAGATTTGGACAATAAATTGATAATTTTCCAAAAGTATGTTACTGACCAACAAAGGCAAAAACATTATTGTCACATATTGGATGAAACTCCAGTGTTTGATATGATAGGAAATAAAACAAGTGATATGAAAGGAACGAAAACAATTCACATATAAACAACAGGTCACGAAAAATATCACCTGATTAATTGATGGTACAAAATTAAAACTCATGATTATTTTTAAAAGAAAGACAATGCTGAAATGTTATTTTGCAAATGGTGCTTTCATTCATGTTCCCAAGGAAGGCTGGCTAAATGAAAGCACAATGCAAAGTTGTGAATAAGAAATTAAACTATGGATCAGAAACCATCGTGTTGCCTTCAAGATTTTTTTGGATAATAAAAGAAATTGTTGAAAGAATGTAATACAGACATGGAAGTTATTCCAAGCAGATTAATACCATTAGTTAAGCCTTTAGATGTGTGAATCAATAAACCTTTCAAAGAAAATTTAAAACAACTGTAGAATATGTGGATGTTAGACGATGAAAAAACATTCATAAAAGGAGGTCAAATGCATCATGCCAGTCTAGAAATAGTGTGCGAGTGCTAATAAAATTAAACTTGACATAATTCAAAGTCATTTAAAAAGTGTAGTATGTCTAACAATCTAGATGGAATGGAAGCTAATTTATTTATAGATCACAGTAATAATGATGGGAAGATGAAACAGAATTCGATGATGTGTCTGAAGATGGAGTGGAAGACTAATATGATGAATTTTTCATGTAATATGATAATCAAAAATTTTTAAGTTCATAAGGTACGCCATTTCTCTTAAATAAATAGCATTTAGGTACATATAGGAACCTAATTTTTGTATGTTTATCTTTTTGTTATTTTTTAATTCATCATTTTTACATCTGGTATATAACACCCCCCACCATGCTAGCTTATTTTTTCATTACAATTGTACATTATACGCTGGAATATGGAGTAAGTTTAAATGAAATGTAGAAAAAAAAAAAAAAAAAATGTATACAATTTAATAGGCCATATAAGGAAGTTATGATGTCCACATCAGAATTTTCACCTGTATTGCTCCTCCTCTTGGGAGGGGAGGAATTAAACAGCGTCGCTAATACAGCATATAGTAATTACACATCCTCATTTAATTGTATATATAATATGAAATCCAATAAATGAATCTATTCCATTGAACTTTTCAAACTAACACTTGTGTTGTATGCAAATTTTCAATAAAAAAAGTTTTGCTTTTTTAATGCTTTCTGAATACTTTTAAATTGGTAAGCATTTTGTTATAATACTTCAAACAATAAATTATATTAAAAAGTAATTGCAATTAATTGCATTCATATCAGATATGGAAATATATATTAAATACAGACAAATGTTTTCAAAGAAGATGTGCTATTTTATATTTCAGAAAATATTTATTTTAAATTCAAACTGTACATTACTTTAAAAGGCATCCAAATTTTAAAGGAACAACCAAAGGTAAAATATGTTTTGGACAATTAAAAAGTAAATTTAAGTTAAAAAGCCATAATTATTGTTGAAAACTGATAGGCTATGCACAATGTAAAAATACTTCCTTAAAAAACACTCTCCTGCTTTCGAATTTACTATACAAATATTGAATTAATATTTTAATGAAATACTTGAAAAGAGATTTCTAAAACAGTATAAAAATAGGGCTGTGAAAGAGTTGTAAAATGGACAGATATTTTGAAAGGTACATGCTTTACACCAAGTAAAGCAACATATTTTTATACATGTAATTGAAATATATAAGAAAAATTCTCAAAAATAATATACATATTATATCACTCAAAATAAAATAGGAAAAAAATATTTACAATGTAACACATTAAAAAATGAAAAATACAAACAAAGAATTAAAATAAGGCACAGACTGCATATAATTTATCTTTAACACACAACCAAACAAGCACTACAGCTAATTTGATAGTTCTGAAGGAAACAAACTAAAACATCCAGTTTAATAATTTACAACATATAATACACTACAAAAACAGATACAAAATGAAAAAATTTAAACATGGGAACATCACAATCTTCTAACTACGACATGACTGTAAATAAACAATATTAGCTGCAAGAATAAATAATGAATATCACCTAATTTATATGCATATGAATAAATTTATTATTTAGATGCATGGCAGTATACACATAAAATAGATCCCCAGCTCAAGTGCTCTGCTACAGCTTTCAAAATAAACTAAAAAATTAATACTCATACAAAATAGGTAAAATGTGCTTTCCTAAAAATACAGGAAATATCCTATGAAGAATGCTGAGGAAGGTAAAGATATTCCAAAAAATATATCATTACACTGACTTTATAGTTTATGATCACGGAGGCACTTTCATGTCATGAGTCTAAAATGTCTTAGTCTTTTGTTGCATGAAATTGTAATTCTTAACATATTTTGTACATTGAGACTATCAATGGCAGGAAAGGTATATAGTTACATCAGGACGGATTTATAAGTTGAGTTTTTGTTCGGTAACCATTCTTTTCAAATAACAGCACAAAAAAATCTTTACATTAATTAAAAAAAAAGAGTAAAATATAAAACACTTTCAAACATGCCTAAAGAATGGCAGTTGCCATTATATGTTTAATAATGAGAATGCAATAAATGGTTAAAAAAAGAATATAATTTATTACACTTAGGAATGTATAATCAGCAGCATTAAAAATGTTGAAACACTCATAAAAACTTGTTTCTGAAATAGAAGAAATAACAATGGGTCTTCAAGTAAAATGAAATGTTATATCTACCAAAAACAACTACAGTAAAAGTATCACAGAGAAAACAACCAAAGGGGGAACTTTGCATTATCATGATAGGGGGGAAAAAACCATGAAAACAAAGCAGCAACAAAACATTTTCAATTTTAAAAAAACAGTTGAACAAAATATTGTAATAAAAATAAATCACTTTATGAAACATCACATAATGATAACATTGCAGACAAGCATCTGGGTATTTTAAAAACTTCAAAATTATGCTCAATATACAATGATCCGTGACGGCAAAAAGAAAACGTAATATTTTTAGTCATATTACTTTATTTTTTTTAATAAATTAATAACTTAAAAATCAAGAAGAAAAATTAAGCACTCAAAATTAAACAATGGATATGAATTACACCTACATATAACAACAGAATTTTTAATTTGCATAGTCAGCTATTATGAGCATTATTTAATGTATACTTTTCATGAAAATGTATTTAATGGTTTGTAAGGAAAAAATAGATTTAAAATTTTTTATATCTGAAAATAAAATATCTGTTATGTTCTCATCATGGAACATTTTGTGGATTTTTTTATCACAATTTTTTAATGAGAAGTTTTGTTGATGCTTTATTTTCTACCAGAGTATTTTAGATGTATGTATCTATGATGTAGTAGTAGGTTTCCTTTACTATACCAATGTTTTATACAATGATATTTTCCCTTTGCATTGTTTTCTACACAATGTTTTTCCCGCAGTGTTTTTACCAGTAACCAATTTCAACTCGGCTGAATGCACTAAAAGAAATAATTAAAAATGGCAATATGAAACCTATAATAAAGATCAAAGTCTAGCAGATTAGTATGCAAGTACATAAGTTGTTTTACTTCGAAAGCTAAAAATAAAAATTTACTTTAGACTTTATTTAAAAAATCAAGATATATATTACATTATCAAGGCATATATTACATTCAGTTTATTTTTTACTCCACCCCACATCAGTCAATGACAAAAAAATTAAGTAATATATATATTTTTTTATTAATATAAAAATTGTCTAAATTAACACATCTATTCAGCAACTAAGAATAAATGCAATATTTTTACTCAACGTATATGGCACTAAGCAAAACCAGTATTTCATTTAAAATAATGAATATCTAACATTCAGATAGCAAAAATTGCTTATAATTCTAAAAGAAAAACTACTCTATTAATTGGCTAATACTTTGCATGTGGCATGCTCCACACTCAGAATCATATTTAATACAATTCTTTGCAAAATTTTAATCATATATATTACACATATAGATATGCTGAATTTCAAACAGATTAAAAGCTTATCTAAATTAACAAAATACTACAGTACATCATTTCTTATAGCGTAAGCTTCTTATAATAATTATTAACAATCAAAACTTTAGGAATGTGATTTACATTAACAGATTTTTGATTTAGTAATGAGCTTCAAATATTGTATAGTTGCAAGATTTTGTAGATTAACTTTCTGAATTAAAAATAACTTTTTTGCTATCAAATACCCAGTGGCTATAGAATAACCCTAATTTGAATTCCCACAATGTATTAAAAGAAATATATTATTTAATTTTATCCATAAATTGCTTAATAATCATTGCATTTTATGGCCAAAATTTTTTTAAGAAACTAATTCACATATTTGTGTAACTAATGTGGAGTTAAAATACACAAAGTTACCCACACAATCAAAGAGAAAAATCATATTATTAATTACTGCATTATGAATAACTCAATAACTTTCATCAATACTGATTATGCTCCAGATATAGTGCTTCAATAATGGTCCCCTAAAATTGGAATAATTAGCAATACTACATCATAATTAGTTAGCACATATTTAAAGGCATTTAACATATTTTTATGCTGACCATTTTCAGCAAACAAAACTATCACAAAATAGCATAATTTAGTTACAATAATGGATAACCCTGACAACAACACATTTATAAGATCTTAACTGTGGTTCTATGTAACCCTGATTAATTCTCGATAAGCCAATCAAGTATTAGTAAAAAAGAATTTACATTAACTGCTATTTCTCACGTTTTGAAAAAGTGATTAAAACTTTTAAAATGCTCATTTTCTACAAAATAACAAGTAGCTGAAGTTTTGACAATAACACGATCCTGGCACCATAACAAATGTATAATAATGTGCACATTACAGAATTTTATTTTTGAAAATACATATAATAATGATGATTTGAGCTCATCACTGTTTCATTATGGCAAAGCATGTGTGCATCAAGGAAGGATGGCTTTGTGATGAACTACAAGTATTGAGCAACTTTACTGCTTGGTCATTGGCGAGCTCGCGTTGGGATCATACTTACTTAATTTTTTTATATGCTATATCTGCAATTTCTATCAGTTCATTACCTAACTAAATAAAGAGTGATCTGTTCATTTAAATTTCTGTGGATAGAAAAGCCCAAATTTGGTGGGATCTCTGCCAATGGTCAAGAAGAAAGCACGTTAAGTACTAATTTAAACATAAAATCATTAGATGTAACTGATCAATTTGATATGTAGAGCAAATAAAATGCACGTATATTGTATGAGTTTTAACTGTGCTTTCATACACATAAGCTCAAGAATGCAGGTATGACCAGATAGTACTGGTAAATGCAAGACACAGAATGTGCTTGATAAACTGCATTCTTAAAACAACATAATCAAAAAAGTTGGTCCACTACTTAACTAATTGGCACACAATTAGACGTCAAACAACTGAAATACTTCTTAATGGAGAAGTTCTATTACATATTAAAATTCAGACTTATATAAGTTTGAAGTCTTTGTTTGCATTAATTGTGATTTTTAAATGCTATGTAGTCAAAATATTATGACTACACAAAATGCGAGATCAAGAAAACTAATGTAGACAAAACTAAATGATATGCATCACACAAAACTGGAGAATCCAGGCAAAGGTGCCCTGGACCCAGCCATGTTGTTCATAACAATGTGACCCCCATTGAGACTGACTTGAATACTGCCTTCAGGTTCACTATCAGTGTAGCTTGGTGGTTTCACTGGTCTCTGACGTTTCCAAGACTGCCGTAGCGTGTCATTCACATTTGCGTAATGATTTACAAAGGAATGAGGGTCAACCTTTCCATCACTTTCTCTTTCACTATCAGAACCCTAAAAGAAATCAAGATCATTAGTTTATTTTTTTTTACAGTAATTCTTCTTATAAAATAGCTAAAACAATCCAACTATAATCTATTATTTACAATGTTCTGGTGTCAATGCAAATCACTTTTTAATATTAACTTTTTGATGGTCATCAATGAACTCAACTTGCATTATAAAATGGTAATGAATGAGTTCCACTCGTGAATTAAATTTCTGCCCCAATGTAAGCCGACAAAGTGATTTTGTTCTTCATTATGATGCAATACACAACGAAAAGTTGAAATTGCAAATGAGTTAATTTAACTGGTATAGATGGCAGTAGGAGTACTAGATCATTTCTTGCATAATAAGAGTAAATTTGACAGTTTTCTCAGGAATTTTTATTGGTATGTTTTGAATGCACATTATAACTACAAATGGCATCAAAGAGAAAGTGAGAGCAGTTTTTTTAATGCAGAATCTTATTCTGAAGATGAAAATCTTTTATCAGATAATGAAAATGATCCAGATTCAAGTACAGATATTTATTTTGAAAATTTAGAAGATGATCTGTGCACAGAAGAAGATATCAGAGCACTTCTCTTTCAAAAAGTTATGTATTTTTTTCATGCAGAACATTTAACAATCATTTTAAAGCATCTAGGAACAACAAGTGCTATGTGTTCCCACAGCGACTGACAGATATCGCACACATTTGCAAAAAGAATAGCTTAATTTTGCAACTGTCAAAGGGTTAACTAGATACAATTAACAAATATGTAACATCTTGCACTTAGAAAATTGTAAAAAGAATAGAAATAGGGAATCCTAATAAGGAAATGTTATTTTTAGTCGTGATGACTGTTTATCAGTTCTTCCATTCTTAAATTACATAAGCAATTTCCTGTTTACTTGAGGCTTGAATGCATTGTTGTGTGTCTTGATTGGTATTTCTTATTGCTCCTATAGGTAATATTTCTCCTGACAGCCTGAGTAAGATAATTTTGTATCATAATACCTAGGGTAATCTAAGTCGGAATTTTTACATTTTCTCAGATGAAATGAATTCTCACTTTATGTTAAGGAAGTACAATTATTTATCAACATTTATAATATCTTAATTCTTATTACAAGACAACTATAAGAATCCAAATACATATAATTAGTTACAATGTTCTGTTGCCAAAGCAATGCCCTTTATAAAATCAACGAATACTGTTAATAAATGTGTAATAGCAGCTTTGTAAGATGATATTTTAACAGAGTAATTTCCAAACCTGGGAATCAGATGAACTCATTTCTGAAGGCTTTTCTGTAAGGCTGCTGCTATCACAGTTTTCATCATAACCCTTAGTATCATCATCATCAGAATAAGTGACACTGCCAGGGCTAGGACGAGGAGGAGACCTAAAACGAAATGCAGGAATTTGTCAAATACATATATTATAGTTTAAATGATCAAAAACTACATAATGCAAGTTATTAACATTAATTATAAGAAAATATGAAAACTTAAATAATATTAAATTTGAGCCTAAAAATTAAAAACCTACTGAATGAAACTTATTTCACAAAAATTGCAGTAAAATATTGTGATGAAATGTTTTAAAACACAAAATCACAATGGAACTTAAGTACAGGAAGTTCAATATATTGTTTTATTTATACAAAATGCCCCACATTTGGTCACTAAGGTCTTGACCTTGCTTTCCAATACTTAAGAACAATAGAATTAAGAGATATAGTACAGTGCATTCGTCAGTATGCTCCTTATACATAGACAGTCCGGAGTTACAAAGAGTACAGACTGAAGAGTCCTTAAGTCGAATTTTAAAAAGATCGACATTCAGACAATCATGGCCAGTCAAAAGATGAAATAACACCATGGCTACAGGACGAGGAAGATTCGGAATAACTGGCTTTGAACTGGTGAGACACTCCCAGACCTTTCCCTTAGTTTCATTTCATTTCATTTAATACGGCCCACCAGCAGCCGAGCGGTAAAGTCGCTGAACACTGGTAGTTCGGTCCGAGGTTCGAATCCCGCGAACGGGCTGGCTGCATGGGCGTTTTTGTGGTTTTCCCCATGTGTAACGTGTATACGAGCCAGTTTCCCTTAGAAAGTCCTCCACGAAAGGCATCCCTCCCCTTAGGCAGATAGCCCTAGTGTGCTTTGCCATAATTAAATACACATACATACACATACATTTAATACGTAGGAGCCCAACCTCTTCTTAAATTCTAATTTAATTAGGAGTTTTGCAGAATTAAAAGTCATAAGGTTATTAGTGGTTTGTAGAACAGTCGTTTCTTTCTTTGTCAGGAAATCAGCTCTTTTATTTCCCTCGATGCCATGACGAGCAGAAATCAGCTGCAAGACAATTGAGTCAGCCAGAGTGTTGCAAATCTTCTTACATTAGTAAATTTTTGGGAAGTGCAAAATTTATTGTTGGAGATAAACTGCAAAGCAGCTTTGCTATCAGACAAAATAACAGCCCAAGGGAAATTACTCTTCCGAGCTCTTAACTGATTCAAAGCAATAAATATAGCCTCAACTTCACCATTAAAATTGGTAATATCTCTTTCCACAGCCTTACAGAATGCAAAATGGTTACAATAGATTCCTGCACCAACTCCAGTGCCTCACTCAATCATGGATCCAGAGATTACTGAAGTATCTTTTCCCAGTAGTGCAATGCCTCTGATCTAGAAAGTAGGCATTAATTTTCTCATCAAGTTCAATATATGCACAGAAGTCACCGTATTCAAGAGGGCACAAGGGTACAGTCATCACATTAATTTCTCGGACAATCTCTAGGTCTTTTGCTAACTGATAACCAATTTGACTGAAACCCATTTGTGTCTTTAAATTTCTTTCATTGTTAATTCCCCCAATGTTTATTATTTGGGAACCTGCACAGTTTTTTAAACAAAATTGCAGCACTTATACGAACGCCATGCATGATAATTGATTAATGCCTCCATAGCTGCTATGGGCTGCTATGAAGGCTATGCTTTAACTGCACCTGTTATTAGGCAAAGAGACTGGTTTTTTAATTTCGACAAAACTGCACTGCCGAAACCGACTATACTGATGGAAGTAGTCACCGAAACGTCGTTACATTTAATAAAATAATGGTTGTATGCACATTTTATACATATGTTTTAGAGTTTCTCTGTCACACTCCCATCAGCAGCCCAAAAGCCGTTTCAAAATTGGGAGTCTTTCAGTTTTTTCAGCTTAATATAAGAAATATGTTCATTCCAATTCAGACATGAATCAAGTTTGCATCCCAAACAGGTAGCGTTAATATTAACAGAGATTTCTTCACCAGGATAAAGAAGGTGGAGTAAAAAGTGCTGTCTATTCGAGGTAAAAAATTGGCAATGAGTTTTGTCTAGGTTTAAAATCATGTTATTATTCCTGCACCAAAGATCCAATCACCCCAAGGCATCACTGAGATTAATATTCAGACTTGTCTGTCGATTCTTTGAAGACTAGATAATCGGTAAACAACATAATCTTAATTACAGGTCAGACATTAGAATATCAGGCAAATCATTTATACAAATATTAAATAATAAGGGGCTCATTACAGCACCCTGGGGGAGACCAGTTTTTTTTTTTTTTTTTTTCTCTGTCTAAAAAGGGACATGCTCTGACTATAGTGAACCATAATAAATCAATATATGGCTAGTTTAGTGGTTAGTTAAATAGACAAAGTACTCTAATACATCTGTCTATAGAAGGGTGTCATAACATATCTGCCAACTTTATGAGTATGACCATCAGAGAAATTTTGAAAAAAATTCAGAGAAAAGTAAATTTTAAGAGAAATTTGTCACACAGCTGTATATATTGAAAAAATTACATATGGAAATATTAGACAAGTATTAATTTTTATTCAAATTTCATTTTCATGTTTTATTATGTGCAACTAAAAAAATTTACATATGGTAAAAACATGGAAAATTAGATTAAAAAATTCATTTCAACATATTCAAAAAAGCTTGTTTGCTTTAGCTAAAATGTAGTTTGGAGACTTTCCTTCATATTACTTTGTTTAAATTTCAAGATCAAGTTATTCAAAAAACCCAATGTTGAACTACCAATGTTCAGCGGTCTTGTTTAATGTTAAGTTGCCTTTTGGCAACTAGCGAGATTCAGTGTGAATGAGTAAAATCTTTCCAATGGCTAAACTACATATCTCATAGGAAACTACTAGAAGAAAATAGTTTTATTTGTTTTATTTCTGTCAATGAAAGCCAACAAATTTCTACAGTAGAGTCAAACCCTGAATTATTTAATTATAAAGGGATTACTGAAAATTATCATTAAATTAGGATTGTCATTAAATTGAGGAATTACCTTAAATCAATTTCAAACATGATGTAAAAATTTCTTATCTCATTAATCATCCAATGCTGGTCAAGAACACAAAACAAAAATATTAATTTCAAAAAATCTTTTAATATAGAATAATTTTGCATTAGATTTGTATGTTTCAGGATGGAGTAATTAAAACAATCATTAGTTTGAGGAAGTTACTAAATCAGCGTTCAACCATATGAGCAATCACATAAATCTACTATTCAAGTAACACAAAAAATTAGCCAAAAAGAGTATATTTGAAATATGGAGTCTGGTTGCAAAAATCAGTAGCAAATAAGAATGAGTCTAAGAAATTCATTTTAAATTTTTCAATACAATTAAATACTTTTATTCAGTAGTTTTGATTTGGGTCCAAAATATAACTAGTATGGTTTAGAAAACCTGAGAATTCTTTTTAAATTATTTCGCAGTAGCAAGAATGATTGATTACTCGGGTTACGGCAAACATATGTGCCTTACAGTAGGGAAGCCTTTGTGGAAGACTTTTCAAGAGAAACTAGCTCATATTCATGCTATACATGGGGAAAACCCTGCATGCAACCAGCCCATTCAACAAGATTTGAGCCCTAACTGTTTCCAAAGGTCTTGGCATTCAGCAGCGGGTACGCTTTGCAGCAGCATGATATGATAAATTAACATATTGTGGGTAAGCAAAATTTCAATCTTTCTTGAAAATGCAAAATAATATTTCTCATTCCAAGACTACAAATTTTATTACATATTTTGGGCAAAATATCTTTCTGATATCTGGGGCAATTAAAAAAATAAAAATTGTAATTAATCTTAAAAACTCAAAAATCGTAAATCTGCCTCATTGAATTAGTATTCTAAATGATAATACTAATAATATAACAAAAACTGCTTTAAAAAAATTTCTTCGTCATGGAATTCAAAACTTATTTCAGTTGCACAGTATTCTGAATAGGTTTGAAAAAAAAAAAAAATAACTTCTGTTACAGAATATGTTTGAAGATATGAACACATACTTAGTAAGCATGGCATTATTATTTTTCCTGGAAAGGGAGTTTTTACACAAGGTGCCTCTTTTAGACTGCCTCAATTCAAATGAGGCAAATCCACCATCATCCATGCTCAAATGGTCATCATGAACAGATTTCTGTGCTTCTTCTGCAATTCAAAAAGAATAAGTTATTAAAAATTACTTGTCTGTAACACAATTCTTCGTAAAATACATGTTTAAAAAGTTGAAAAATTGCCTTACTTTTATATTTGTACACTTTGCTTTTTACACATAGCACAGAAACTACCAGAACAATTATGATTACGCTCACAGATGCTAGCGTAACCAAGAACCACACTTCTCGGTAAAAAGGTAGCTTGGGGCGATACTCCAAATATTGTTTACCTATAAAAAATAAATGATAAAATGCTTTATATGAATGTATAAAATATAATGATCAAAATGTATAAAACAGCATTTAAACCAAGCGCATAACCTCAAAGCTTGAAATATAAAAAACTGGACTGTTCTTGAGCAAAAAAGAAAGTGCAGCATGTGGCAGCATTTTTAAAGAACTCAAAATTGACTTAAATTTAGAAGTGGATAGTTTTATATAGAATCCCAACCTTTGTCTGTTTCATAATGCATAATTTGGTTTGGTTTATTTGATTACTGCAAAGCACTCGAGGGCTATTTGCCTTGGGGCTTGAGGGCTATCTGCCTCGGGGCTTGAGGGCTATCTCCCTCACCTTCAACACTGAAATTTTGTGCTAAAAAGTATAAACAGAGAAGTTTGGCGATCCATCAGGAGACTTCGAGATGCATGAAGAAACCAGGAGAGTTGTCAGCCATGCAAATGAATATCCATTAAGAAACTGAGTAAGTAGCTATCTTGCTGTGATTTCAGAATAAACATTTCAAAAATTGTCGGGAGGAAAGATAGAGACGTTTTAAAACAGAACGCAAAAAAACTAAAACACTTAATATTATTTTCTCATAAGCATAATTTTAATAAATTATCATCATCTTAACAACATTGTAAGAATATTATTATATGTCTTGAAATTGTCATAATAGAATTCACATACACAAAACTTTTTTACAAAAACTGGTTTTAAATTTACGAAAATGTTGATAATTTGCCAAATCTGATGACAAGCAATATAAGAAGTTATATTCCAAAGAAGGAAGAATTTTTGATGCAATAAAGAGATGAATAGAACTGGTAACCCTGATTAAAAATGCAAATTTGGAAAAAAATCCCCATATTAGCCCAATTTGTGGTATCTTCACAAAAACTGCAATATTAAGAAAAAAATTTCTGTAAAAATGATAAAAAATTCATAGAATTTGACAGATATGTGGCATTCATCATTTTAGTTGATCATAAGTGACCTAAAGGTTGATAGTCATTGGTTGTCAATTCATAGGTATAGAACAATGCAACAAATTTAGACAGATTATTAAAATAAAATTAAACCAAATGACACCAGAGTCCATCAATTCAATTCAGCATCAATGGCTTACAGGTTGATGGTTAGTGGTTAAAGGTCTCTAGTATGGAAGAGTTCAGTAAATTTAAGTAATTATAACAATCCAAAGGACATTGATAACCATGTACTGGTCACCCGTGATTGTGAAAATTACTGGTTAAAGTCTATGGCCTGATAATTACCAATATAGGGTAATGCAATGCTAAGATGCATGGATGAAAAAAGTTTGAATAAAATGTTCTACAATGTTTTTTAAGACTCTGCCATGAAACACAGAAGCACATAATTTTCTATTTTTAATCGAAATCCATGTAAAGTGTTCCCTTTATTCTGTCGATTAGTTATGCAAGAACTAATAATAATTTTGCGTCTTAATATCATATTCATGTGATCTTAAGCATATTTATTACCTACTTGCCATATGAAATCATAACTTGTAGAATTTTTTCCAACATTATTAACCTTTAAATTTTTATGTTCACCTCTTTTAAATTAATTGCCAAAAATATACAATAATAAATAAGTTTATGTTGAAGATTGAAGAATTTTTCTTCAAGATTACTTACTTGGGGTTGCAAATGGCTGCGATGATGTAGCAGGGAAGCTAATTCCATAGTTGTTACGTGCAAAAAGTCGAAAATGATATGAAGTAGAAGCAAGCAAGTTCCTAAAGTTCACAGCATAAGAAGTCTGCGGGCCATTATTCAAGAGAACTAATGTTTGCCACTCATCACTACCATCTGAAATTTGAAAACAAATAAACAAAACAAAGTTTTTTATTATGTTTCATAGTAGTTAAATTTGATGCATTAAAATTATTAAATTAAAATATTGATGTTCAAAATGTCCAATCATTAAAAATCATGGCTACTGAAGACCACTGTTTTTTCACACATGCCACATAGTTTGATACCCTACAGTGAATAATAGCGCAAATAGCAGCAGATGAGAACAAGAAGCACAATATTGCAGCTTACTGTTGCAAGATAACTAAATAGATGGATAGTTTGTATAATGACTGCATGCTACATTTTGTTAACACATGGCTGCTGATGATGTCCTTACAATGTTGCAAAGAATCAAAACTTGTACAAGACAATGAAACAAACTATTTTTATACTGAAAGAGGTAACTACAAAGTTGCAAACAATATAATGATTATATAACAGGATAATGCCTTTCGCAGATTTAACTTTCCTGCTAAGTCATCTACTTCATGAGGCCCACCAGCGGCCGAGCGGTAAAGGCGCTGAACACTGGTAGTTCGGTCTGAGGTTCGAATCCCGCGAACGGGCTGGCTGCATGGGCGTTTTCGTGGTTTTCCCCATGTGTAACGTGTATACGAGCCAGTTTCCCTTAGAAAGTCCTCCACGAAAGGCATCCCTCCCTTTAGGCAGATAGCCCTCGTGTGCTTTGCCATAATTAAATACACACCAACACCATCTACTTCATGTTTGTCTCAAGATAAAAACTAGCCCCAAATTCCTGTTTTTGAACAATAACATCCCACCCCAACATACTATGGCTGTTCCTCCTTGATCGGTAAAACGAGAGGACTTCTTAGTAGCTGCTAACCTGAAAATCTTAGAAACTGGAAGATTTTTTTGGGGGGAGGGAGGGAGAAAACAGGAGGTTTTCATGCTGAGCAACACAATTTTAAATTAATTCAAAATAGACTTTAATTCAATTTATAATGCATGATTCAGGTTATAAAATTATTTGCAATTCTGATGTTGAATGCATTAGCATTTAATTCTATATTCTAAATTTTATGTTCAATGGCCAATTTCATTTTTTAATTTTCTTACAATTTTATAAATCATGAATAGTGAAACATTATTTATCAAAGAACTTTTAAATACAAAGAAAATAAAATTAATAATTAATGTACATAATACTTGTGTGGTTAAAGTCAGTAATGTTCTATATGTTAAAACATAATAAAATTAAACACAAATATTCATTGATTAAGCATTGCTTTATTCTTCATATAAAAATCTACAAATGTCTATGGTAGATTAAGACAATTAGACCAAAAAATATTTAATAAGATAAAAACATAATAAAAAAGTACAACTCACATGAAATAAAATTTAATAAGGAAAATTATTCTGATAATCACTAGAGTTGGAGAACACGATATGCCTAACACGATTTCATTACTTCAATATATTTTATTTATTGCTGGGAAATATTTTCTTTAGTAAAGGATAAAAATTAAAAACCAGGAGATTTAGTGATTCACCAGGAGATATAATGAAAAGCTGGGGGAGTTGGTAGCTATGAAATAGACTTGTTAGCATGTTCTCAAATTTGAAATTTTAAAAGAACATGCTTTTATTTTCTGTCAATATTTTGGAATACCACAAAGTTCCCATAAACTAACTGCTACTGCAAGAAATGGTAAATAAAAACTTTTCCAGCCCCATTCTGTGTAACAGGAAACTATTGGAACCAACATTTACAGAATGTATATTTAGAATTATCTATTTAAAAGATTGAATTTTACACACACCATCTATATCTAAGAAAAGACTTCATTTTACACATTTCCTTATATGAAAATTAAGGACTTTTAAGGACCATCAAAGAAAAAATTAAGGACCTATCAGCAAACAAAAAAAAATGAATAGAATAAAGCAATTATCCATACAACCGACTTCATGCTTGTAATTTCACTTTAAAAAACTAACAGAAGTGTGTATTATGCACTATTATTAAATTCAACTTAATACTTACCATAAAACAATTTTGAAAATTAAACTAACTCCCTACAAGTTATGAAGTAGATAACATTAAATGAGGAACATAATTTCTTGAAAAACATGTATAAGTGTATTTTACACTAATAACAGTCACTATTTTAGAGATTTACATGATTATTATTTAACTTATTTGATATTTATTTAAACATAGTCAACTACTATTATAATCACAATGTAAGAATATTTTGCAGATTAAAATAACTGATTTGTAAACATACAATTTATTTCCTTGGTTTTTTGAAAGATACTAGAATAATAAACTGTACAATAAAAGATACAAAACATTTGTGCTTTTTTTAAATCTGAAATCTTCCTTTTCTTTAACTATTCTTCTAAGTTCATTTGCTTTGATAAACAAATCAATGTTCCTGATGGTCTCAGCTTTATCTGCTAAAGCATCTACTTCTTCATTAATGTCTTTAATGTCCCTTTGAAGAAAGTTTTTCTTCTGCTTCATATAATCAATTTCTTCTTCAATAATATTTCTTTTCCTCTTTGAATTTTCAGATTTAGTTAAAGATTTTTGTTCTTCTAAATACTCTTCTAAATACTGAACTTCTAAATAACGAACTCCACTTCTTGCAGAAGCTGCTGCTGATCTCATTTCTTTATTAATTTCGATATTAAGAACACCTCCAGAAAATTTTATGTAATCAAATACTGTGCGTTGAAAAATGTATGATGAGTCACTTAAATTTTCAAATTTCAATTGCTTTATTTACAGAGAAGCCCCTTTCCACAGAGGCCTGTTCATGTGACAAGATAAGAATACTTGTCACAGTGAATACTTGAATAGTGAAAATATACATTTTTTACTATATATATATAATTTATTTCCTAAACAATATAGATTAATTGATTATATTATCTCCTAAGTTTAATTAAAGTAGAATTATTTTAAAAGAGTGAATCCATACTGGTAAGTTATATTCTGAAAGATGTATATATATATATATATATATATAAAGTAAAGTCCGAGATCCGGACATCTAATATCTGGAATGATCTAAAATCTGGACCTCAAAGCCACCACCAACCAATTGCGCATTAGATTTTTTTTTTTTTCCTCATCATAAAAAAAATGCCAGAAATCCGATTCTTAATCTTAGTTTGGTGCTAAATAAAATATCTCATTATTGAAGAAATAATTATTTTAGCATAAATTTGTGTGATTAGTAACTTGACTCCATAGCTGCGTATCTGCTTGGCATAATCTCAAACCGAAACATTTGTTAATTTTACACCAACTAATATTTTATATCCTTGATGCCGAAATCGCGAATCATTATTTATTGTATTTTGCTTTCATCACCGCATGTTTATCAACGAATGACAACTTGAGTGATGAATCATGCAGCGATGCCAAATAACAGAGTATTATACGATTACAGATTTAAATTTAATGCGCTAAAATGTTGACAAGGGGAGATTTAGCAGAAATTTCTTTCCTTATGCTAAAAATAGATTTTGTTAATGATACTCATAGGACAAACGATTATATTTAGTGCTATTTGAATTAAGAATAACTGATTTGTTATTCACATAAAGCCAGAACCAGCTCCAGAGCTCGCATGGCCGCACCAGGCGGCAGAATTTAGCGAAGTTAAACAGAAGTTTTTCATTGCAATGACAATGCCCAATCATCAATCAATTAACGGAGGGCGGAATCTGTAGTATGGTTCTAAATCCAGAAAATACAGCTACCGATAGTGAAGAAAGTAACAGAGAGGTTACTGAACGAGAAAAAATTTTGATTGACAAGTTATTCGGAATTCTCGACACAGCAATTACAGGACTTGAACAATGGAACTTAATAACTGAACAAGAAATTATATGTCTATAGTATTAGTCTAAAGTATTAGCAGAGAAAACAAATCAAACAACTCACATTGAAAGAAATGTTTAATTAAAGTAAACATATAAATATTAAGCTCTTTTCTTTGGTAAATTTTGATACCCTTTAAATCATAAATGCTTCATTATTTCATAAATCACGATTTCATATTTTCAATTTTATAATTTCTACGTGCCATCTTAGTAGATTTAAAATGATCTAATATCCGGAAAAATCTCAAATCTAGGATCGCCGAAGTCCCGACGAGTCCAGACCTCGGACTTTGTACACTGTATAAATATATATATATATATATATATACGGAATGTATATTTTCAGTTAAACTTCTACCCAATAACTTTAGTAATTCATGAAAGTTAATTTTGCGTCTAGTTAATTCAGGAAAATTAGTTTCAATTAGTTGTTTTCAGCTTTAAAAAATATTAAAAAATTTTTAATTAGTTATTTTCAACTAATAATTGTATCGCCATTAGCAAAAATTATGCATTACTATCAAAAACATAGGTTTAAACCAAATACTTAATTGTCTATTGAAGCTTCAAAACGTATTTCCGAACTTCACTTTTTCTCAGCTAGCGTTACCGAATTTTGCCCTTGGCGACCTAAAATCGAAATGGAGCCAACAGATTTCCCGCGAAATCGATAACAGACCCTCTGCAGAAATAAACTCATAATCCCGATATCCCATACATATAGTATGTGCAAAAGAGAATAAACTCCGTAGAAGGTGATAAAAAAAATTAATTTATGGCTTAATTGAAACAAACACAGAAATTAAGCTAAGCAAAACCGTGTAAAAACAAATTGAAATGATAAAACGAAACTTAATTTTCAATGTGAATTTTCAGTGCTGACTCTCCCATTCTAGAAATTTCAATTTGTTTCAGACAAAGACCACATTTAAGGATTGCCATCCATCAATATCCAGTCTTTGTAGTCAGCTTGATGAAGCCACAGTTTATTGAAAATGCACTTTCCAGGCATCTCGTTCCTATTGGCGTCGGAAGGGTTGTGGCCTTCCAGGTTGGAATTGCTCTAATTTTGGCAAATATTTTCAGAATCTCCCCCCCCCTTTTTTTTTCTCGAGCACCTTCATCATCACTTTCGCCTCTTAAAGAACTTCCAGCTTCACGCTTTCGTCACAGTCTGCCTAAATTTATGGATAACACCTGTTTCGAAAGATTGCGTGAATAGCCAATCAGACACCGATACTTTCATTCATGTAGTTAATTGTTTTTTTTTTTAAATCGTTTGCAATGCAAATCCGCCGCCAACAGATTGGTTAAGAGCTGTGTAATTTTAATTCCATATTCATGAGAAATCGTAATTCACACTTAGAATGGCAATCATTAGAAATGATAAGAAATGTCAAATGAGCAAAATTAAGGACCGTTTATTCATTTTGGCCAAAATTAAGGACTTTTAAGGACCAAAAATCATTTTTGAAAAAATTAAGGACTTTTAAGGACCGTACGAACCCTGATTTAGTAGCAAAACTTTTAAACTTTTGTTTTTTTTTTCCACTAAAAATTTTTTTATAGAATTTTACTTTTAGAAAATAAGTCACTAAGATTGGGAGGAGGGTAATGGAATTTGCACAATTTGAGATTCAATAATCTACCAGAAGATGCAATGGAAAACTTGAAGTGTGAAGGGGGGGAAACATACTAATTTCTATTGGATTATGTAAGCTATTTGCAATTTTTTTATGTGCAGTTTTAAAGATTTCCCTTAAAATTTCTCCATAAAAGATTATGTTCTCAAGGCAAATAATTTCTTTCATTCATTGGTATAATCATTAATGTTTACTAATAATATTTAGTTATTTCCTTTTCCTAATCTTATCCTGTGACCATTTCTAATAAAAATTCCTTACATTTTTTTACATCAATCAGTAGAAAGAAAAAAAAAATAAGGTATTTCTTCTTTAGTTTTTGAATCAAATGATTATTCTATAATAAATTTATAAACTTTTCTCATTTAATTTACAGCCATGCTACAAATAATTATTTACATAAATTTATAAACTTTTCACAGCATTTAATTTACAGCCATGTTACAAATAATCATTTACATAAATTTTGACTAGCTTACCAATTTGTTTGTATTCAATAAGATAACCAATGATTGGAGAAGCTCCCTGTGGACCATTTTTCCAGTGAAGGGTAAGAGAAGTATGAGTATGCTGGAGAATAAGCTCTTCAGGAGCAGATGGTGATCCTTCAAAAGAAAATATCAAAATAAAAACTTAGAAGTAACAAAAAAATTAGAAAGCTTTCAGATTTTACATTATGGTCAAAGGGGCATTCTTTTAACATTTTGTGCATTACTTTTATTTGTCAAATATTCTGTTTTCGCACTTAAACTATAATATTTAATTCAACATCAATATCGCAAAATAATTTTAAAATGAGCATATCTTTAGAATTTCTGATACACAAGTCTTGCATGCTAAAGATATAATTGTTCTGCCCTAGTGTTGCCATTGCTCGCTTTGAAATCCTTGAGTTTATTAATCAAAAATTCATTAAAATTTTATAAAATTTCATACAGATAATAAAACACATTTGAAATTCCAAATTAGGGCTTCCACATGCTCATATTCGGTGAAGGATTACATTATTCAAAATTCAATGGCTCTAGGTACCGTTCTTTTATCACAATGTGAGAAACATGCATACATTTATGATTCTTCATTATTTAATTTCTTTAAATATAGCACGGGGCAAAAATTTTTGAGGGCAACAATTTGAAAAGTGGAAAAAATATTTAAAGTTTTTGAAACAAAATGCCAAAACGAAATTAACAGCTCTTCTGGGCTAATAACAAAAGACTTATTTATTACAATAACATACTATATATAGCAATAGAAACAGATTTTTCAACTTTATTTTCTTATTTCTAACTGCCTGTGGCTGCAATATTCATCCATTTTTAAAATAAAATATAAATAAATTAAGAATACATTTAATACTTTAAAGAAAGTGTTATTCTTTTCACTAAATTGCATATAACAAATACTGTAACCATTGCAGTTTCAAAAAATATTTCTTGCAAAATTGCAAATCTAGTAAAAAATGCACAGTTATGTTCAGAATAATCGAAATTTGTTAATGCAACGAGTAAACAATAAGAATTGGCATAATGCGAGTTAATTTGTGAGACTGCAGTTAGGCAAGTAAAATCTTCTTAACTTGCAGTGAAAATAAAACATCTATTGACTGAAAAGAATGACACACACCAAAGAAACAAACTCTTAAAAACTCAATATATTCTTTCCTTTTCTTTCTTTTTTAATCATTTAGCTAAACACTCTCAAATTTCTCGGTTCTCATACAAGTTGTGACGTCTTAAGCTATTTTATCGACCACCACGAAGTTCTGAGAAAAAGAATGACCACCTCGAAAGTTCCCACGGACAGAGTATTTCTTAGCGAATTCTCGGAAAGAAGAAGTGACCAGCAGTCACAAAACAATAGCAGCTTTTTTTGTTCCTCTTATAGTTGTTCGAAAGGAGACATTGTTCAGTTCCCTTTCATCAGTTTATAGGTTCAGTGTCTCAGACCACCCAGTTTGAGATCCCCAGTTGGAATAGAAAAGTTCCCACGGACTTTTTCACAGGTTGTTTTCATCATATCCAGTTTTAAATCAAACAGGGTTGCCACTCAAACAGGAGAATGAAATTCCCTGACTTTTCCAGGTTTTCCAGGTGTGTTTCAAGAAAATTCCAGTCTATCTGCGTAATGTACGTTGGCTGTGCTAAGAGGTAAATTAATTATGGTATTACTTGTATTGTGTAGCAAATTCACTTAATTATTCAATAACTTTTAGAGGACATTTATTCTTAATTATTCTTGGTATACTTTGTTTGATAATTTTGTTTAGTTTTCCACTTAAGAAACTTAATAAAAGTTAAGATATATATATTGGATAACAAATGTATGTTTTATTTAATTATTACTCATGATCATCACCAGTTCAACACGAGGCTAATCCGGTCCTTATAAATCACAACGCAATGCTAAATAGTTAGGTTAGATTTTAGGTAAATTTAATTTGCCTGAGGTATGTTCTTAAAAGGCACCTTAACACTTGAAAACACAAATATAATTATAATAGTTGTTGTTTTCTCCACTGAAGATTGAGATTAGAATCTTCCCAATCTGGAATAAAATAAGGCTTTTTTTGCAGACATTCTGCAGGTAAACGAAAGAAAGAAATTTATTTTAATAAATTGAGCTATTTTATATTTATTTTGCAGCATACATAAGGAAAAAATATGTGCATTAAATTTCGTGATGGTATGTCATCATACTGCTATAATTAATTTCAGGATTATGCCAGAGAAATTTCCTGAAATTTGGAAATATTATTTACTAATAATAAATAAATTTAGAGGGAAGAAGCAACATTAAATTATATGAATAACATAAAAATAATTACTTAAAAATTGAATTAGAATAATCAACGATATTTTAGCAAATATAGTTATATTACATGGCTAGCCTAGATGACTGATACTATTTTTTTTATTTTACTGCAAAATGGCAAGGTATTTATTAAAAAGAAAAAAAAAAAAGGTTTAAAAATGGTAAAAATTTTGACGGTTTAAGCTTGTAGGTTTTTTGTTTTTTGTTTTTTTTTTTTTTTTTTTTTTTTTTTTTTTGTTTTTTGTTTAAAAATGGTTTAACTTTTACGGTAAGGGTTGGCACGATTTTGAAAAATGTCGCCAAGACCAAAATGACCCGTTTACTGCGCAATCAAGATGTCGCCAAATCCCATTATTATTCTAACCAAAGAATGTCTATGTAAAGAAGAAAAGGTTCCATACAAGTAAAATGCTATTACGCCGCTAGAATGCGGAGGGAAATTTTGCCAAGGGATTTGGCGACGGAACCTGGCGGCCAGAATTTCTCTCTCCGCGATGTGTACAGGAAATTGAGAAACACGTGTTAAGAAGAAACGCTCTTTGACAAAAAGAAAACTACGAAAATCCATTTTTAAATTATTGCGAAAAATCCAAGAAGAAACGTTTTATCAAAGGACGTTTCTTCTTGGATTTTTCGCAATAAAAACGGATTTTTGTAGTTTTTTTTTTCCCCCTGAAAATAACTAATCCATGAATTAATTTACTTGCGCCAAAAAATATTTTCTTTTCCTTTAGAGTTTAACCACTTGCGCTAAGACTAAACTTCACGGTTGCGGTGCCGTGCGCTACAATATAACAAGCCGTAAAGTGTCTCATTTACGCCGCTCCGCATCTGCGAGTGCAATCTAGAGCTGTAACTCGTGAAATAAACAATCTCGTTGTAAGGTGACGTGTGCACCACGTTATTTTCATTTTTGCGATAAATGCTTATCGACGTGGTGTTCACGTCGCTCGCGGTTTGAGACAAAAGCATCTGACGTGCATGGCATGTCTTTTTATTTTCGCTTTAGTGGTTTAAAGAAATTTTAAACGATATTTCATTTTATGAACTCTTGATAACGTGACCTTCGAACTTCGACACCGGTTTCGAGCTTGGCGACAGATATATCGCGCATGCACAGCTGTTTCCCTCCTATGATGGAACGGAGCCACCACGTTTGTTGCAGAGAAGTTTTCCTTCTTTATAATACATATTCTTTGATTCTAACCTTCCATGGTACCATATACTAAGATTAAACCCATTATGTTTTATACGAGAACAGGTACTTTCTTTAGTTCATGCACTGCACATGCGATTCTCGAGGTTACTGGAAACCAAAAGTTGCGGGAAAGTTTGCTTTGCCTTTCTAAAAGACAATCAAATTGGAAACTGCGAAAATTGGCTCTATGCCAGCTACCCGAATGACACTCACGGATACATAATTCGCCAAAAAAGTTACCTCTTCCGACGTCGGCGCAAAAAAAAATCGCTTTTTTGGCGGGATCGTTGTATGAACTTCCCTGACTTTTCCAGATTTTGACAAAAATACTTAAATTCCCTGACTTTTCCCTGAATATTTTGGTCAATTTTCGAATTCCCTGACTTTTCCCGGTTCTCCCGGATTTCCAGGTAGCGTGGCAACCCTGATCAAAGTGCTCTCGCAAATTAATAGGTGCTTCTAAAAATTACGGACAAATAAGGATCCTAGAAGTTTTTCCGACACACCTAGGACAACTTGAACAAAATCATGGAACGCAGTTCCAGAGAGAGAGCGAGGGAGAGTTAATTGCAGTACGTAGAGAGAGAAACCTTCTCTCAGTTTTTCCCAGCTCAGCCACGGGCAAATTTTTGCTTCTCTCTGCGTAGAGTGATATTAATATCTCTGCCAAGAGATTTAGAGCAAGGTAGCCAGGTTCGCCGCTACCTTACGAAGAGCATCCTGCACGGACACAGCTCAGTCCGGCAACCACCAGCTTAGAGATTCGATTTATTCAAGACAGCCTCATCTTGAACTATTTCCAAACAAGAACTTTCATCTTGGCTGAGTCCTAAACAGGAACTTATTCTCCCTACTGTGAGAACAATATTTTATAAGTTTATTTATTTATTTTTCTGCATATAGCCTAGAAAGAACTCAAATTTATTTACGCTACCCCTTATTTTTCGAATTCGTCACAAGGTACATGTTTTTGTTTTGTTCTAGTTTGCCATTTTCACTCCTACGCTTGAGAAGAAGATTCTGGTTAACTTTCAAAACTACAGTCCTACAAATTTATGAATTTTTGTTACTTATCACTGGCTGTTTTAACATGTAACTCTTCTGCCTGTTTTTTTTTCGGGGGGGGGGGACAAAACATTTACTTTATTAAGCACAAAGATATCCACATTGCATTAATTAATGACAGAATAGAATCAGAGTTTTTTTTTAACTAACATTTGGAATTGCTATTTCAAAAACTTGTCTTAAATTTAAGGGTATGTGTTGTTAAGCTAGTAGGTCTGCCATAACCACTGAGCTCATAGCTCTCTCTTAAATATTACACTGAAAAGTGAATAAAAATTGCATTGCATTTTTTTAACTGATTTATTTTAATTTTCTGAAATTGTTTACAGTAAATTTTTTTAAATGTTCAATTGTACTAAAGAGTTCCTAAAAATTGTTTATACATTAGTTTGACTTGTGTAAGCCAAAACTCTATAAAAGGTTCAGATAGTTTAGCTTGATTTAAACCAGTAAAAATATTTTAAACTATTAGAAGAAAATAATGTTCAATGAAAACTGATCAAGACAAACTAATGTAAAAATGACTGTACATTACTCACCTTCTTGAGGTCCTGTAGTTATATTGCCTACAGACTCTGGGCCATAATCAAAAGTCTCTGCTCTGACCCGAAATGTGTATGTTACTGCTTCAGCCAAACCATGTACACTAAGAGAAGTTGATGTCACTTTCTGTTTTACTTGCTTGCTAAAATCTAAAATTTGGAAAGTGAATTACATTAATGTTCAAAGAAAGTATAATCAGAATGCACAAAAGCTTTACTTAAAAAAGTAATAAAGGCACAGATATTTGCTATTTAACAACAAATATGAATAAAGTAAATATTTTCCAACATTCAAGTGTACACCATAACTGTCAACCTTGAAATACGGAGAAATAGGAGATTCTTGTGATGAAGAACTCCTAATTTTTCTTAAATGCTCAGTGGTTATGGCAGACCTACTAGCTTAACAACACGTACCCTTAAATTTAAGACAAGTTTTTGAAATAGCAATTCCAAATGTTAGTTAAAAAAAAACTCTGATTCTATTCTGTCATTAATTAATGCAATGTGGATACCTTTGTGCTTAATAAAGTAAATGTTTTGTCCCCCCCCCCGAAATGCATGGTTTGGGTTATGTACATTAAATTATAATAATGTCATAAATAAATTCTTCGATTCTAAGGTGACAATATTTATTTATAATGTGATAATATATGATTTAATTAATAATTAAAAATTAAAGCAAATTTTATTGTGTGGATAAAATTAGAAATGTACTAAATAGAGATTTAAAACAAAATTAGATACAAATATTAACTGCTTAAATATGAGTTGAGGCTTCATAAAATGTTCTACACATGTCTATAGTTATTAGACAATTCAAATCAAATCAAATTTCATAAAAAAACATACATAAAAATCACTAATTGGGAGAAAGAAACGGAATTTGCCCAATTAAAGTTTCATTAATTCACTGAAAACTTCCCTTAATAAAGGTTAAAATTGAAAAACCAGGAGATTCAGTAATCTATAGAAGACATGTTGAAAAATTGGAAGTCTCAGATATTAGTCTCAGACGGAGAGTTGGTAACTATAATATACTGAGCAGAAATCAATATAATGCTATATATGTAACAAAGGGGGGAAAATCACATACATGTGAAATTATATGTAACTTCAAATAATATTGCATTAAAGAAATAAAGTGAAATATCTAGTTGAGCAAATAGGACTGAAACAATTTTATAAAATATCACAATACAGGATGATAATAATTCAGGTGATAAAATATCACAATACAAGGTGATGATAATTCGGGTTATAAAATACCACAATACAGGATGATAAATTCCACTTTCAAAAGTGGCAGTAAAAAAGAATCACTGGTCAGAATGACCTGAATATACATGAAGCAATACGAATTTGTCTGGAGAAAGAAAAAAATAGCTCGAAATTTTATCAACAGATGGCACTGTACTTGACATAATATGCTAATTAAAAGACATGAAATGCACACCAGGTATTAGACTTACTAAAACACAGAGCACATACTGTTCCCATTACTCTGCATCTGAGAAGCTTATCATGACTCTGTCACTGAAGGATCGGGCTCTGCTTGTGAAGCTTTCTTACAAAAAAACAGTGACTGTGCTTCAAGTGCCCTGAAGGAATTTTGGATATTTATGGGCATCAGGTATGCTTCTGATCTGATGTCTGTCAAGGCTCAGCAGCAAGATGATTCATAAATTCGAAGGGACCGGTTCATATGACCGATCCCTTCGAATTTATGACACAAGATTTGGCAGAGGGAGAAAAGCAGTTGTTTCGATGTCAGTGGAAGATGTGACTATAGCAGTGCAAGAAGAGATGAAAGGTGGTGTGGAAATGTACAGTCCAAGGGCAGTTGCCTGATCTTTAGATATGCCTATAACGAAATATCCTGCAATGCTATTCAAAATTACACACATTCGGAATTTGATTCCTGCTAATCTGCCAATGTGATGAGCCTACAATTTCTTGCTCAGATGGAAGTGAACAATGCATGGCCATGGAATATTTTGTGAACAGATGAAGCCTATTTCCATCTCCAAGGCTCTGTCAATAATCAAAATTGGAGAATATTGCAGACACTGGACTTAAGCTGAATCTTATACACATTAATGTTCAGAGCTTCTTCGTGATATATAAAATCACAATCACCATTCCTGTAAAAAAGCTTCATAAGCAATCCCAATCCTTCAGTAACAGCACAAGCAGAGCCCGATATTTCATTGGCAGAATCATGATTAGCTTCTGAGATGCAGAATAACGGGAACTGTGTGTATTCTCCGTTTTCATTAATTAAGTTTAATATGTGGTATGTATGTCAAGTCTTTTAATCAGCATATTATGACAGAGTGATTTGATAAAATTTTGAACTATTTTTTAAATTTTCTACTGATGAAATTTTGAACAATTTTTCCCCCTATTGCCAAAAATTACCATTGCTTCATACACATTCAGGTCAAATTTCAAGTCATTCTGACCAGAGGTTCTTTTCTTACAGCCTTATGAAAGCGGAATATTAATTACAATCCCTCTGTATATTATTAAGAACTGCATCATAACTCTTACATTGATGCATTGGATTGGATTATTGTAATTTGGCACAAAACCAGTCAAGGTTATCTGCGCCAGACAAATGGTAACAATGCAATTAGTCATTTGTAAAAACTTTCAGCTTAGGTAAAAAGAGACAGATTACAATCTATGATAAAAGCTTATATCTTTTAAAAACAGGTTAAAGTCTATTATAAAAGCCAATATCTTTTAAAAACAGAAACAAATTACGATGATGTGTTTTTCCTATTAAATTTCCTAAGTCCAGTTCTGAACAATTGAAATGTTTTTGGCGAAAATAATTAAAACTCTGGCATTCCACCAAGATGTGATGGACTGTCAGATCTGCATTGCAGTTTAGGCAGCTGGGATTCTCTTCTCCCTTCAGAAGATACTCATGTCAGAAGTCAGGTGACAATGGCCAATTCTCAGTCGAGTCAAGAGGACATCCTCCCTTCTATTAGCCATACATGGCCAGTATCCAATGGTGGGTTTTACATTTCTCAGCTTGTTATATACATTGTCATCCCACTGTTTCTGCCATTTGCTGAGAATTTTGCTTTTGACAAACCCTTTGATGTCTGCTAGTGGAATCTGAAGATTGTACATTGTGGTTGCAGTTTTAGCTGCAATATCCCCCAATTCATTCCCCTTAATGGCAACGTGTCCAGGGATCGACAAATAAAGAATCTGGTATCCCCGAATTTTTAAAGATTGATTCAATTTTTAAAGAATGATTTACATTGATGCACCAGAACAATAAATGCCCATAAATTAGATTCAGTTAAAAATTATATAGACATACAAGTTCAGCTAAGCACATTTTGTGTGCTAACTTATATTAGTGTTTGTATCTGATACTAACAACAACCTGTTTTATGAATCCATCATGTAATGGCATTAACTGTTTGAGGCCTTGTAATGACTACATACTATTAGCACTATTTATCTGCTGTAACACAGATACTATGCCAGAAAAGGTTTAATTTCAAAAATAAGAAAGGTCAGAACTCCTTAGAAGGCCATTAGAAATGATGAAAAATAGGTAAGTAAAACAATTAATAAGATAGACAATTAAAATTAAATGCACATAAGTAAATAAAAATATTATTAAATTAAATTAACGATAATAATAAATTTTCTGGTATTAATTTTCTGGTAATAATAAATTTTCTGGTTCTGTAAATCATTTATACAACAAAGTAACTGAACTCACCAAATTTCCAAAGATCTGTGGATTATTAATTTTGGAGTGCGTAGGGTTTAGTACCCTTTACCTTCACATCATAAAAATAATTTTAATGAGCAAAGTTCAGAGAGTGATGTGTACTGTAGATCTCTCATGAATTTAAAAATTGTTTAATATCATGTTGGAAGATATTAGCATTACTTGGAGAGATATCTTCAATTATGGGGTGTAAATTGTGTTTGGAGACTTAATAAGCTCAGCTTAGAGAGACAGCAATAAGCTCAGCTTCCTCTGTGTCTGTATGAGCCATCAGTGTTCACTGCTAAGAACAGAATGAGTGTTTCTGTTTGCATAGCCTGGCAGATGCATGCCAAAGACTGTTGTCACTGGCCATTAGTCTGATTGGAAGAACTGATCATATTATGTCTTGATCTCATTCTGGAGAGCATGAAGTTGAATTTTAAAGTCAGGATTTTTAATTCTTTACTAATCAGAAGTACTATCAGGCTTTGGCTAAATTTAAGCCCTGATTTTAATCACAGTGCTACTAACAGCAGCTGCAGAATATTCACCCATACAAAAGATATACAATAACATAACCCATTTTCAAAACAAATCTCTATTTCTGCAGCACTTTATGAATTAAATTCAATGAAATTTTCCAATACACCTGCAAAAAGAAGACTGAAGCTTCTTAAAGCTGAAAATACCCCAAATTTTAACTTCACATATATACTATAGTTTTCAAATGGCACCAGGAGCTCTAGAAGGAGATTCAGGTTTTAGCTCTAGAAGCATATGAACTCCTTCAAATCAGGGTTGCCACTCAAAGAGGAGAATGAAATTCCCGACTTTTCCGGTTTTTCCAGGTGTGTTTCGAGAAAATTCCAGTCTATCCGCGTAATGTACGTTGGCTGTGCTAAGAGGTAAATTAATTATGGTATTACTTGTACTGTGTAGCAAATTCACTTAATTATTCAATAAATCCCAGAGGACATTTATTCTTAATTATTCTTGGTACACTTTGTTTGATAATTATGTTTACTTTTCCGCTTAAAAAACTTAATAAAATTTAAGAATATATACATTGGATAACAACTTGTACGTTTTATTTAATTATTACTCATGATCATCCCCAGTTCAACACGAGGCTTAATCCAGGTTCTTATAAATCACAACGCAATGCTAAAAGTTAGGTTAGATTTTAGGTAAATTTAATTTGTGTGAGGTGCATTCTTAAAAGGCACCTTAACACTTGAAAACACAAATATAATTATAATGAGTTGTTTTCTCCACAGAAGATTGAAATTTGAATCTGCCCAATTGGGAATAAAATACGGCTTTTTTTGCAGACATTCTGCAGCTAAACGAAAGAAAGAAATCTATTAATGATATTTTTTTACTAAATTGAAGTATTTTATATTTACTGCTAGAATTAATTTCAGGATTATGCCAGAGAAAATTTCCTGAAATTTGAAAATATTATTTACTAATGATAAATAAATTTAGAGGGAAGAAGCAACATTAAATGATATGAATAACATAAAAATAAAGATAATTACTTAAAAATTTAATTAGAATAATCAACGATATTTTAGCGAATATAGTTACATATGGTTATCCTAGATGATTGATTACTATTTTTTTATTTTACTGCAAAATGACAAGGTATTTATTAAAAAGAAAAGAAGAAAAAAAAAAAAAAAGATTTTGCGGTAAAATCCTAGTATACGATACGGCCTTCGCATGATTTTGAAAATTGTCGCCAAGAACAAAATGACCCGTTTACTGCTCATCATCATGTCGCCAAATCCCGCTGTACCATACATGGAGATTATTCTGACCAAAGAACGACTATGTAAAAAGCGGAGGGAAAATTTGCCAAGGGATTTGATGACAGAACGGCCAGAATTTCCCTCTCCGCGATGTGTACAGGAAATTGAGAAACACGTGTTAGAGAAGAAACGTTCTTTGACAAAAAAGAAAACTACGAAAATCCGTTTTTAAATTATTGCGAAAAATCCAAGAAGAAACGTTTTATCAAAGAACGTTTTTTCTTGGATTTTTCGCAGTAATTTTAAAAACGGATTTTCGTAGTTATTTTTCCCTCCATCAAAATAACTAATCCATGAATTAATTTACTTGCGCCAAAAAATAGTTCTTTTCCTTTAAAGACATTTTAAACGATATTCATTTTATGAACTCTTGATAACGTGACCTTCGAACTTCAACACCGGTTTCGAGCTTTGCGACAGATACTATATCGCGCATGCACAGCTGTTTTCCGCTATGATGGAACCGAGCCACGTCTGTTGCAGAGAGGTTTTTCTTCTTTACAATACATATTTTTTTAATTCTAACCTTCATGGTACCGTATACTAGGATCAAACCCATTTTGTTTTATACGAGAACAGGTACTTTCTTTAGTTCATGCACTGCATGTGCGATTCTCGAGGTTACTGGAAACCAAAAGTTGCAGGAAACTTGCCTTTCTGAAAAGACAATCAAATTGGAGCTGCGAAATTGGCTCTATGCCAGCTGCCAGAATGACACTCACGTGATACACAATTCGCCAAAAAAGTGATCTCTTCCGACGTCGGCGCAAAACTCGCCTTTTTTGGCGGGATCGTTGTATGAAATTCCCCGACTTTTCCAGATTTTGACTAAAACACTTAAATTCCCTGACTTTTCCCTGAATTTTTGGTCAATTTCCGAATTCCCTGACTTTTTCCGGTTTTCCAGGTAGCGTGGCTACCCTGTCAAATGGATAGTAATACGAGGAATTTCTTTGGGCCCAAACTATATTGTGCAAATGCCAGCAATTATTGTGAACTACTTGTGCCACTTGGCACAACTGATGATGAAACTAAGCATGTGAAGAGGGATCAGATTTAAAATATGAAACACAATTTTAATATTAATTATCATCCTAAGTGACCCAGTAAATATTTATCATGCTGTAGAAAGAGAGGAAAGAGACTATTACAGTCCTAAATTAGTAGTAAATCCTGTTTCCACATATGGTTAAACTGACACTGAACAGAATGAAAATAACACTCTGGGCAGAAAGACAGCTAATAGAGATTTAATGTGCGATCATAACTTAAAATTAAAAAAATCAAGAACAGCTTTTTCAAAAGCATTCATTAATAATAAATGAAAAATCAATCTCTAATCCAAAATAAATAATAAATTAAAATGAAAAATTCTCACCAATATCAGGAAGTGCAGTCTCATATGTAACTAAATAGCCTGAAATCTCTCCATTAGGCTCTATAGGAGGACTCCAGCTCACATTCAATGATGTCATAGTGACGTCACTAAACACCAAATGTCCAGGTGGACCAGGTATGTCTTCCATAGTCGTAACATGTAAAGGAGATGATCTAGGGCCATCACCAGCAGGATTAAAAGCTAGAATCTGGATATTATATTCAGTATACTTTTTCAAATCTAACAGTACATAGGATACAGTTGTAGGTGGCACTGCTTCCATTTCTTCAATACCATCACTTGATCGAGGCTCGTAGAATATCTTATAACCAAGCAAATCACCATTTTGCAAGGCAGGTGGTGGTGGTTTCCATGACACTTTCAACTCTGTTGAACTAATGGCTTCAACTCTTACTTCTCGAGGCTCACCGGTAGGTACAGCTTCCCCTACAAATACTTGAACAGGATGACTTGGAGGGCTATCACCTCTACTATTATATGCAAAAACTCTGATCTCATACACTCTGTCTCTTTCTAACTGGTGTAAAGACAAGACAGAAGAATTAGCGCCTTGTATTTTATCAGCAGGACAATCTCCATTTCTAGGAATTGAGTAAGAAGATACTTGGCAATACTCCACCCGATATCCAGCTGACCTCAGATCACCATTCCAATCTTCCATGCCAAGAATTTCCCAACTGACTCTAACAGAAGTAGTTGTGTATGGGGTTGCTATAACTTGTCTTGGAGCTCTTTCAGGTGCTGCTGGCAAAGTCCAAGTAAGGTTTGATTCTTGGCTCCAGCCACTTGATCCTATATCATTTGTAGCCTGTATTCGAAATTTGTAAGGGGTAAAGGGTTTTAGCGTGGCAACTGTATATTTATTTACAGTTGGATCAACTTTTGCAGCAACTGTCTTCCATGAATTATCATTTTTAGCCATCTGAACAGTATAAAACCGCAATGGAGCAAATCCATCTCTTCCAGGTGTCCAGCTAAAAGTTATCTGTCTGGCTTGAACTTGGGAATTGCTGATCTGAGGTGTTGAAGGAGGTTGGGGAGCCTCTCTATTATTTGTTGTATAAACTTTAGCATTGGCAGTTTTGCCCCAACCTTCATTAGTCTGAGCAGTGACTGAAAACATATAATAAGTTTCCGGCTCAAGATTAATTACTTTCAGAGTCCTTTCTGTTGGTGCCAGTTCTTTCACAATCTCATTTTCTACAGAGCCATCAAATTTATACGAGACCCTATATGCCAAAATTAGACCATTTGGTTCTTCAGGAACGTCCCACAGAATACGCGCAGTTGTTGTAGAAACATCAGGAAATGAGATATTTGAGGGAACCCCTGGAACATCTTCAAAAGTGCGCACAGATACTGGTGGAATACTTAAAACACCATCTCCTATACGTGAAAATGCTAAAACCTGAATACTGTATAGTGTATATTTTCGAAGTTCTGTGAGAGTAGTGGTAAATGTACTATTGCTTTCTATAACTTTGTACTGGAAAGGGACATTTTTGGCTCCATAGTAAACTTTGTAACCTTCTATAATACCATTCTGATGTATCTTAGGTACTTCACTCCATTTTACAACTATTGTAGTGGAAGATGTGGCATTAATTTTGACATTATCAGGCCCAGCTGATGGAACAGCTTCCCTTGTTTTTTCACGAGCTGGTTGACTCGGTGAACTACTTCCAACATCATTAAAAGCCTGTACTGAAATTTCATAATCAGTAAATTCTTCCAGGTCTTTTAGAACATAACTGTTAGCATTATGGTCTTCTAAAACAATGTGCTGATATGTTGCATTTTCAGAAACATCAATTTCTGAAACTTCTTGATAAAGTATGTTGTAACCTCTAGGGATTCCAAACCACTCCACCTGCTGCAAAGGCTAAAATACACATAATTAATATAATACTAGTTTATATTATATTATTATATATTAATTAATAAAACATTTAAATAATGTAATTTGTAATGGATAATAAAGATATACAATTTATAAAATGTGAATAATTTATGATAGATATAAAAAAGTTTATATTTTTCATCCACAAACTTTTTCAAAAATAAAGTCTAAATTTATAGTAACACAGACCGGAATAAATTTATCATTTAAATTCGATTTTATGCCCCTACTGAAGAAATAGAACATAATTTTAATAAAAATAAAAAAATTATCATAAAAATTTAAGCAGCCAGCTTCAATAAAAATTTTGATACTTATCAGTCAATCAGATCACATTTTCTTGGTATTCAAAAAAATTAAGTTCCAAATATTTTTTTGCTGACAAATTATCTACAATGACATTTTGGCAACTCAGTTATTTTCTTTTAATGATTCAGAACAATTTTTGTTACTACTTGTTGGCAGCTAAGCATTTAATTAATAACGAACAGAAAGTATAGCTCATAGAGTTTGCTACAGACACAACCAGAAATTGTAGCCATCTTCCAAGATTTTGGTACCTTTTTTTAAACAAAAACTTGAGCCACACTCTGAAGATAAGGCTAGGAAATGAAAACAAAATATCAAAGCAACACAAGGGGTTGCCAATATAAATATGCCCTTTGAGTTGATAGTTGATTTTAAGGCAGTAGAATGTCTTTTGTTACCACTCTACAGTTCATACATTAGCAGAATATCTCTTTGTTACCCCCTTTATGGCTATTATATTAAATTTTCTGATCACTTTGTCATATCACCTTTCAGTTTTTGTTTCTCGGTAAAAAAAGGCATTGCCAAGAAAATATACCTAAGAAAATCAATAAGTACCTGGATTTTTAAAGAGAATTAATTATCCTATATGTTAAACCCATCTAAACTACATTGAGAACTATTATTATTCATTCATTCAATTCATTACTAAGAAAAAATACAGGACAATCTCAGTTAATTCACTTCTAATGGGATCAAGAACATAATTACTGTTGACTACTTCTAAATAATAATAATAACAACAATATTTAAAGTACTGTAATTGCTGTTACTGTTTTGACCTTTATTTCACCCAAATTTAACATAATTATGGAGGGCTAATGAATGTGTATGTAAAGAGAGAACCCACATCACTCAAAAATAAACAAGAAAATCATAGCTAAGACTTCAGTAATATTCATATTATTCAAACTCCTTTCTCACAAGCAAACATCAATGCCCTGCATGATATGAGGTTACAAAAGACAAATTTGAATCCAGCTGCTACCAGCATCCCCCTCCAATAAACACATTTTTATTACTACTAGTGCTTTCTTTTAAAAGAAAATTTATTCATTAAATTATTTTTAGAAGAATAACATAAAAAATAACCCCAAAATTTCACTCAAATTGATTTTATTTATTTTGTTTCAGAAATAACCAGTAAAACCTCCATTATCTAAGCTAATGTTAACCGTGGCTAACTCAGATAACATGGACTGATAGAAAGAAAATCTTAATACAACAGTATACATACTGTAGAAAGTTTATTAACATACAGGATTCATGAAGGTATATATTGATAAAAAACATACATCCTTCCAAATATATGGATATACATGTAGTACTAAATACTATGACACTATAATCTCGAATATGTGTACCTGCAATGCAAATGAGGTTCCGTACAGTTTACATAACATATTACACATTTTAATAAAAATCACTACCACTTTCTGTTTCGTTGTGCAGCCTCGTTTTTCTTGCTGCTGTACTGCACAGATATAAAATAATCATAATGTCAACTTGTTACATGTTTGTCTTGCTGTTAAGCACAGAGAAGTGGGTTTTTCGATAATGTCCAAGTCATCTGTGTGACTGGTTTTTTTTGAACAATTTCCACATCTTCAACATCAGAATATTCAATATGCATAATTAAATTTACAATAGCCTCATCAGAAAGTTCAAATTGTTCATCATCTTGCAACCAATCATTTACATTTTTTACCGCCTTTGTAACTTGTAGCTGGTTTAAAATAGTCACTAATTCTTCATTATCTGCTTCTTGAGTTTGTGTCACTCTTATACCATCATCATTTGGTGAAATATTTATCCAGCTTTTCAGAGTGGGAGACTGTTTCTCACTGTTAAGCAATTCTTGCAGTCAGTAAATAAAACCTTTCAAATTTACCTGTTTTGGGCTTTCAATAACTGTTTTGTTATTTTCTGTAGCTTCTAATAAATGGTTCAAGAGCCTGCATCAGAAATTTCGTTTCAGGTTTTCTAAAACACCTTGGTCCAAAGGCTGAATCTGGGGGTGTAACACTAGGGGATAAAAAAAAATCACCTAGAAGTCTCTACTTAACAGCTGACACCTGTCAGGATGATCAACAGCATCCTCAACAATTAAGACCCCCTTAAGGCAAATTATTTACCAGAAAATAATAGCTTAACACTTGGCACAAACTGTTCATGGAACCATGACTTTAATATTCTCGAATCAAACTAATCAATTTTTAGTTTGTGCACTTTATAGGAAGATTTTCAGCATTCACATTTTTAAAAGCCTTGGGCTTTGCCCTCCTTGTCAGTAAAAGCTCAAGCTTAGTAGCCAGGAGCTGATTGTCTTGTTTTGATGCTAGTGCCTTTCTTGGCAATATTTTAAAATTCAGACATGATTTATTACAGCTACAGATTTGCTGTGAACCCAAATTGTTTTCCTGGATTGATAATATCCAGTTTGTTTATAAAGGAAGTCACTGCATACGAGTTACTAATAAAATCTTTCCTGCAACGTTTGACTGTCGCACACCAGCAAACCTGTGCTGGCGAATTCCTCTTTACCATCTTTGTAACACTGGAAAAAGTCCAAACCTTTAGTTTGTAATATTGGCCAAATAGTAGATTTCTCTTCTCTTTCATCTGTTGAAACCATAGCAACAATGCCTCTGATGTCTATTCATAACTGTTCTCTTTTTAGTCCAAAGGGGCTTTGTCCCTGAGGACTAATGTTTTCATTTTGCGATTTGCGTTGAATCACTCTAAATGTCCGTTTCACTTTTCAAACTGTTGCCACCAAATACTATCGCCCTGTATTATATTTGAAGAAATAAAATAATAATGAATATGCATAAAGGTATGTATGTTTCTTGCATTGTGATAAAACAACGGTACCTAAAGCCATCAAAATTTGAATGACGTAATCCTACTGCAAATATGGGCATCTGGAAAACCAAATTTGAAATTTGGAATTTGTTTTAATATCGGTTTTATATTTTGTAAAACTTTAACGAATTTTTGATTAACAAACTCAATGATTTAAGAGTGAGCAATGGCAACACTATGGGAGGGGGGGGAAAACCTTTTTATCTCCAGTGCACAGAACTGCGTATGGGAAATTTTAAAGATATGCTGATTTTAAAATTATTTTGTGACATTGCTGTTGAACTGAATTTTATGGTTTAAGTGCAAAAAGCGTGATAAATAAATAAAGGTAACACACAAAACATTAAAAAAAACGCCTCTTTGGACGTAATTTAAAGTCTGAAACCTTTCAGATTTCTTTTTACTTCTAGTCCCCCCCCCCCCCCCGTTATCTTCAGTCATGTGTACGCATGAGTCAGTCATTTTTCAGTTTCCTCCTTCTTCCTTCTCCAGTCGGCAACAGTCCTTTCACCAACACTTGAAACCAATAGCTACCTCTTTAATCATTTTACTATGATATAGCCTGTTACTAGCAGCAAGTAGTTTCTTCTGGTGATCAACCTACATATTTTCTTTGAGTTACTAGAACATATACAAAAAAAAAAAAAAAAAAAAAAAAAAAAAAAAAATAAAAATAAAAAGGCCAGAATCACTCATGCTGCTATGTTGTTGCACAACTAGATATACTCTGGTCCTGATGCAAAAACTAAAGACTAAGTCATTTTTCTGATGGAAGCATGCAAAACTCAATGCTACCGAGCTCAGACGTGGTAATAATGGGGTTCTTATCTTTACGGTCTACAAACTGTTTACCTTTTTAGTATTAGTTCATAATATTAAGCCAAATCACAATATTTAAAATAAACATATATTACTGTTTTGCAACATGTCCTATTATAAATTAATTACTCGTATTATATTTAGCAGTAATGCTTTAGTTAATTTAAAATCAATATTTAATTATCTACATATATATTTAAAATACAAATTTCACATACCGTCCAACGAACCCTCAGAGCTTTAGCATTGACAGCCCTCACAGTAACATTATATGGTGGGTGAGATGGAGGTGCTTGAATGGTCTGGAAAAATTTTGATGGTTCGCTTGGTTCACTCGAACCCACAACATTGGTTGCAATTACACGCAATCTATATTCTGTAAATGGCAGCAGATTGTGGACTTGAATATTGGATGCTTCAGGATCAGATACTTCATAGATCTTAATCCATGATTCATTACGCCGAGTTTGCGCTTCGACTGTCCATTTGATGATCGATGTATTGCCATCAAATCCAGGTGTAAACTGCAAAACCACTGAAAAGGCTCCAATGTTCGATACAGCTAATTTAGATGGTGGACCAGGTAAAACTAAACAAAGTAAGGAAAAATTAATAAAATCAAAGGCACATTTTTTTTTATTAAAACCAAGATATGGTGACAATTTCAAACACATAAAATGATAAACATTCTGCATAAGCTAATGCATTAATCTAATTTTAAAATACTTTTTTTTTTTTTTTTTTTTTTTTTTTTTTTTTTTGTGCAAATAAATAAAAGTTTGAAGTTTTTCCTCAGATTTTAAAATTTATTTTCTACATTATTTTTATATTTGCGAAATTAAATACACACACATGTATATGAAAAGTAGAGTTTTAAGTTTTTGCAATAACCTTTTCAAAATCCGTCATGCTCCCTTTATATCTTAAAAACAGCAATATATGCTTATAAAAAATTCTTTTTAGATTGTGCAAATATGCAAATGTATGATATTATATTACAGAAGACCTGGAACATAACTTGCACACGTTTAATTATGCATATTTAAAAAAATCTTAACACCAAGAACAAGTACAACCACCAACTACAACTGCACTTTCAGATTTTGGAATGCACTTTTAGGATCCACATTTTGGCACATGATGGAAATCAAAACTTTTCATCATATATACATATCATAAATTTTTTATCCTTAAAACCCTTCGGGGTGTTTACAAATTAGATTATTTTTACAAAATAAACATACTCTGCATCTATTCCTTAGATTAAGTTAAATTGTGTAACACTTGTGCTGTGCTATGAAATTCATTGTTATTTACAAGTAACAAAGTAAAAATTAAAATCATACTTGAAGATACAAAAAAGAAATCCTTCTAATAACAATGGGAGAAAGTTTCAGTCTTTACTATCCAAAATTTCTTGACAAATCTAAAAACTGTCCAACTTTACAGAAACTAACAAAATTCCCCATACTCTTTTCCAGACTCCAACTAATAAAGATGTAAAATTTTATACTTTAAATTTTGACATAAGCAGTAAGTCTATACCTAAACTGTTATAAGCTAATACAAAACTCAAGAATTAGAAGGATATCTTATGTCTGCAACAATTTGTTTAAAAAATAAAAGAAAGTTACAATATGAATGTCACTTCTTGTATAACTTGAAAGATTTAAGGGACTGATTAAAACAAAATAGTTCCATATTATATTTTTTTTAATTAAAAATATATGCAATTAACTAATATGACTGCATCTAAATTTAAAATAATTTATACCACAATTATGATATATTTAATTTTTATTTATATCATACTTTTTAATCTTATTCACCTAGAAAAACCTTTTAAATTTAAAGCTATAACTGCAGCATATACCACTCATTTCTAAATAGCTTAAAATAAAATCTTTCAAGATTAAGAATTGTCATTTTATATGAAGCCCTGTTAACTTAAAGAATTATCTGAATGCACAGGACAAATAATTTTGACGGAATATCTCGGTTAAAGTTTAATACACAGACCCATTTCTAAAGCCAGCTTGTCATATAGGTTTTATACATATGTGAAACTCTTATACTTCACAGCTTCCCAAATTATTCCCACCAGTCTATTTTTATTTGCAATTTTTAATTTGCTTTCTTAGTTTGATAAAAGAAATAGAAAATTCAAGTTTCTTCCATATTTAACTTACTTCTTAGATTATTTCTTATTTGTAAAATAAAACTGTGAAAATATATATATATTAAGACAAAATTTAAATTGTAACTGCCCCTTAAGTGTCTGGTTTTGGTTATTTCTCCACTTTTACCCTAAAAACTGCAATATGCCTTCGAGATTGGTCTCCTCTGCTATCAATAGTGTCCCCCCTTCTAAACTATTCAAAACAAACATTATGAACAATATTTTCAAGACAACAGATTTTTTATGTACATAAAGATATGATATGCAATTGCACAGATGATCCCAGGTATTGATATTTTATGCTATACTAAGATGTAACAATCTTGGCTAAGAGCAGCAATGTAACTGCCCTGGGGCAAATGCTAAACCTGACACTTGAGCATCTTAAATTATGATGCACAGAAAACGACATAATCGTGAATAAAGCCAAGATCACAGCACAGCACTCTGACAACAAAAAAACAGTAGATAGACCTTCAGTGTGATGCTCGCTAATAGCTATAGACCCTATGACCAAATACCTGGGAATACAGATGAAATCTAGGATGAATTAGGGCCACCACATCGATGATATAGCCACCAGGGCCACTAAAAGAACATGCATACTGAAAAGACTCACAGGGACCATATGGGGTGCAATACGGGATGTCCTTAAGAGCACCTATAAAGCATACATTAAACCACTGATGGACTACGGATGTGAAGCCATATTCTACAGCTAGCACATCTGCAACAGCAACCAAAGCCGTAAAAAGAAACTGGACTCTGCTCAAATAAATCTCTACAAGTAATCTGAGATGCTGCAAAATCCAGTCCAATCCCCTATCTTGAATATTAAGCACAAATGGAACCTCTTGAAAGATGGCGAGACAAGGCAATGATGAAGCACTTCAAGAGAAGCTGAACAATGCCAGAGAACCTCTGGGAACACTATGCACCTGTGAGCCGAAGACTCAGATCTCTGAATATACTGCTGGCCCAGGCTCAACCCCACTTACAGAAATATAAACTAGACACAGGCCAACACCTGCCCTTTAGAAAACCCAGATAAACTGAGAAATATTAGAGATACCACTCTTGATCTCCCTCCCAGGCACAGATGAACAAATGATAAACGTCTGTCCATATGTCCTAAAAGTAGTTGCACTATAAATGATTGCTACAAAATACCCTGGACCTGAATGGATTCATATATACACAGACAGGTCAGGTATCAGTGACCCCAGTGGAGTCAGCTTTTACTCTCTCCTCACCAAAGAAGCTTTCCCTGTTGGCAAATTGATGATAAACTTTGAAACGGAGGTAATGGCTATAAATGAGGCAGAAAATGTTTTTTATCACCCAGACATCAAACGAAATGTAATCTACAAAATACTCTGGGAATGAATGAAATCGTATGTACACAGATGAGTCAGCTATCGGCAAAAACAGTGGAGCTGGCTTTTACTCCCTCCTTGCCATTGGAGCTCTCCCTGTTAGCAAATCTATGACAAATTTTGACAGGCAGTTAATGGCTATAAATGAGGCAGCAGATGCCCTTTAACACCTTTAAGCATCAAACAAAAAGCAGTCTTCCTCTTGTACTCAACAGCTACAATACAAGCAATCATCAGGACAGAACCCCCTGAAGAACAACTAGTAGCCCACTGTCAGGAAAGACTTCTTAAACTACAGGAGACAACAGATATCAATGTACAATGGGTCAAGAGGCAATACAACATCACAGGAAATGAACATGCAGACAGACTAGCAAAGGAAGGATGCCCTATGCCTTAACCAACACACTGCCTAACATTCAGAAACGTATGCAGCAATATTACATCAATAGTCAAGGAGACTGGAAAACATACGGAAGGCAGCTGTTGTAAGTAAAAGATGGGAAACAATAATAACAGCAATCTGCTCTGAGATCAGCCATCCCCAACAATCTGCCCTGACATCAACTTCAGCTGTAGCCAACTTCAGATTGACTACAGGCCATGACTACCTCCAGAACCATCTCCATAAAATCCGCAATGTTAGCTCCCCCATATGCCCCCTACGTAACTCAGGAGAAGAGAATGCTGATCATGTCTACCTACAATGGCTTTGGAGGTAGATGCCAGAAAAGATGGACGGACGGGCATGACTATACTGCATGGTGTGGTGTCAAATGACTCACCTGCCAAAGACAGGCATTGGCTGAAGAAGAAGATGGTTAAGCCTATGTGCTGATTGTGTCACATGTGTGATTAGTGTCACAAATTGTAGCCATGTTGACTACTATGCATCAGAACATATTTGAAACAATACCTTTCCATTAAATGATGTCAAAATTTAGTTATTATATTAGGCTTTGAAAGTCAGTTGCACAAGTGCATAACAAATTCTTTTTCCAAAGCTTACGTAGACTTTAATCTGCAATTTTACATGGACTTCAATATATATATGTTCATACTTTAATTTCCACACTGTATTATGCATTTAATTTTTAAATCTATAATAATTTCCCTTTTACAATATTGTGATTACGATTGTATGAAAGTGATTAATTTAATTTACTGAGCTAAAAATCAACTTACCAGGTGGAATTCCAGATTGAATAGTTGCAGTCTTTACAGGCCCAGGCCCAACAATAGTCCATGCAAATAATTCAAAAGTATAAGCAGTCATGGGTCTCAAATCAGTAACCAAAACATTGGTGGAATCAGCAGAAAGATTACGGATAACCATGGTTTCCAGCACATCTTTAACATGATATTTTAAAGTATATCCTAAACAAAGGAGAAAAGACATGATCAACAAAGCATTAAATGTTGCACATTCATTTTCAGAAACACTTTACATAATAATGCTTTCTTAATACAGTCAAAAGTCGTTAATTCGGACACCCATAATCCGGACCTCAAAGCTACAAACTTTCTGCGCATGCGTCGCGTTCACGCATGCGCACAGGCGTTTACGAGAGCGCATAAGACCCTTACACTGCGAATATGTTTGTGCGCATGCGCGTTTAATTGTAACGGAGTTATACGCTAAGCTAAAGTTATCTAATTCAGTTAATGTTGCAGATTGCGTTGTTCTTAATCTTCGAATCGGATCCGGCTTATTATTTTTTGCAGACTGTTAGAGCAATTTTATAAAAGTAAGCTTGAACTTTCGATTATGTCAAATAGAATTTCCGATATATATTTACTACAAAGCGAAAGTATGTTTTGAAATCCGAAATCTGTTTATCAATTTCACACTGCTCTGCGGCAGAGGGGGGGGCAGAAACGTCATTATTAGATTATGATAGATTAGAAAGATTATGTCAAATAGAATTTCCGATATATATTTACTAATATGTAATTTGTATCTACAAAGCGAAAGTATGTTTTGAAATCCGAAATCTGTTTATCAATTTCACGCTGGGGATTGGAAGTTGATCTGTCAGCACTATCCTTATCTTCAGAGCAGATGTTTTTATTTTATTTGGTTTATAATTCCGTACTAAGTGTAGTATTTCATCTCGGTCTTTGATATGATTTAAATCAAGTTCCTCGTCATTATAATTCGCTTCCGATAGTGAAGAAAGTGACCCAGAGGTTATTGAAAACGAAAACATTTCGATTGACAAATTAGTCGGTATTCTCAACACAGCAATTATAGGACTTGAACAGCGGAACTTTGTAACTAAACAAGAAATTATGTCTGTTTAATAGAATTAAAGAGAAAGTATTATCACATGAAACGAAGCAACTTACATTGAAGGAAATGTTTAATAAAGTAAACAAATAAATATTAAGCTTTTTCTTTTTGTAAATTTTGATACCCTTTAGATCATAATTGTTCTTTATTTCATAAATTATGGTTTCATATTTTTAATTTTGTAATTTCTGCATGCCATCTTACCAGATTTAAACTGATGATCTATAATCCGGAATCGCCGAAGTCCCGACGAGTCCGGATTAACAACTTTTGACTGTATAATAAATTTATAGATGTAATTAATATTGAAATAAAAAATACATAAGCAAATGTAGGGACTTTTTCATCATGATTAATAAATTTTGGAAAAGAAACACAAACCTTTTAAGATTCCATTTACACGCCCTGGCGGAGTCCATACAACCATCATAGTAGTATCTAAAATGTCCTCAAATTTCAAGCTTTTGACAGCATCAGGAACTAAAAGAAATCAAAGATTTCAATTTACTGAAAATTTCAGAATTTTTCAATTCAATGCATGTTATCAATATGTTATCAAACTTCTAAGCACAAATGTTCTAACAATCACCTCTATCAGAATGACAAGACCATTAACTAGCAAAAATTACTTATATTCCTCCATATTATATTATAAAATATCAGCTAGTTAAATGCTATGCAAATTCAAGCTAAGACAGTTATATATTGAGTAGAAAATAACACACACAGAATTGAACATTGCCATAAGACTAACAAGGTCACACTAGATAAATAAAATTTTCATCAGCCCAGATTTAAAAACAAGAAAGAAAAGAAGCAGCATTAATTATTTAGTGATTGCAACACCCGTATACCAAATACTGGTATTTTGTGCTGTTTTGCAATTTTGTGAAACTGGTATTTGCTAAGGCATTTTCAGTATTAACTATAAATAATAAATACTTTATTATTAAAGGCTTTAACTTATTGGGAATCTACTATTATTTAAAATATGTACTTTTCCATCAATGTTGGCTGTATCAACATCAATGATTTGCTGCATCACTTCCATCCCAATATCCTTTCTTTATTTGTGTAATGTCAAGGTCATAGAGCAGAACTCAATTTCTTTACCAGTACCTCAGAGTAGCCTCATAGGTACTGCTACACGATGATCTTCAAGTTTATTGCTTTACCAGAATCATGGCATCATTTCTCTTCAATATTGCTATGCTAACATTCAAAAAGTGATTCCAGCATTCACTAGGGATAGAGCAGTACCGCCCAGGAGCCCTTTAGTCAAAACTGCTTAGTTCAAAGTTGATTGTAGTGAAAATGTGCACAGTGTTTTAAATGTTTATATATTTTTTAACTAAATTATTTAAATTACTTTTATATTATTTATATTTTTTAAATTGGTTGCTTTCCAAAAATAAGTACATACACATTTTGTACTATACTTTATTGTTCGAAATATTTATATTTATAACATGTATGTTTAATTTTTTTTTATCCTTAATGACTTCAGAGAGCATAAAAAAAATCTGTCAATTGGTATATTGGTATATTTTGGCTTGTTTTTACTAATCATATGATAAAAAAATATGCTGGCAAGATACAAAACACGTTCTATGATTATTAAAGTTTTAGAAGGAAGTACAAGCGGACTACACAATTCAAAACACAAATAAGAAAATAATCTGACAAATTCTACTCGCCCAAAAATATTATTAAACTATAGTCATCATAAATTACGGATATTTTTTAACATAAAATAACATAATGACATAATGACTGTTTTGCTGAAATTTCCTCTAGAATGACAGCATTAGATGATTTGCCATTTAGAGTGTTTTGCAACAGTTGAAATGAGAAAGTCATTAATTGCAAGAGATTTCAAAACTACACCAACATCTGCTAATACTATAAGAACTGCTGTAAACTACAGTAACAATATTCACAATTCTCTAAAAAAAAAAAAAAAAAAAAAAAAAAATTTAAACGTAACAAAATTTAGTCTCACACTTGATGAATAGACAAGTGCACAAATTGCGTACAAATGTTTGTGTACCACCGTAAAAATTACTTGAATATAAATATGCATTAAAAAATTGGAATTCAGGATTCATAAATGTTTCAGGAAGTGCCAGTTGCAAAATGTGTAGAAGTAGTTAACTGCAGATTGCAGGAACATAGATTATCTCTGAAAGATGTTGTCTGCATACTTACTGATGGAGCAACAGTGATGAAAAATGTTGGGAAGCTGACTGATGCAAATCAGCAATTATATTATGTTCGTGGAATTCAACTTGAAGCAATCAGTGTGCTATATCTACAAAGCCAAGAACAGAAGAAGTAAAATACTACATACCATCTTGCTTTGTAGTAACAATCACAGCATCACTTCTTGGACCATCACCAGGACTCGTGAAACATAAAACAGTGATATGGTAAGATGTATACTTCTCCAAATCACCAACTATTGCATTTTGTTCAGCTAAGGGATCTAATGGACTTGGAGCAACAAGTACTGTATGAGTTGGAGTTATGCCAGATTCAGGATCTCCTAGCCAGGTTTGAAGCTAAAACAATATGAACCAATTAAAAATATTCTTTTAATTAAACCAAAAGTAGAAATGGTATTAATGATCTAATATTTAGACATCAAAAAGCACACAACAACAAACAACAATTTTCAATGTCATTTTGTACTACTACATATGAAAAATTCAGAACTCATACATATTTATAAAATAATATAATTAAATCTTAATCTCAAAGAATTTTTTGCTCATAAAAACAGTCATCCAAATAACAGGAATTTTACAGTTTGATGCTGTATTTTAATTACCAAGTAAACATGGTAAAACAAAATCCTGTAATATTGTTCTTTGCATTTTTCCAAAATTTTAAGAAAAGCAAATGAGCAAATGGCATGTTTTATTATTAAAAAATAAAGTAAATTTTTAATTAATAATATACATTAATTTAAATAATTATACTATCACAAAATTTATTAAACATTTTTGTAGGCCCTAATTGTGAATATCTGATATTCTGAGTTACCCACAGATCCAAATTCAAATGTTTATGAGCATATATTTTTGAATTTAAAATTCCATAATATATTTTTTACAACTGATCTAACCTTACAATTTTAACATTTTCTAATATATATTTTTTTAATCTAAACTTGTCTTGCACATCTTAGTTTTAATCAAGTATTTATTAAAATTAAACATACCAAATTTGATTTAATTTTCCAAAATAATAATAAAAATATTCACAACTGTCACATTTCGATTATAGCCTTTTAGCAAGATACTACAACCCTCTGTTTAAGAAAAGTAGTTAAAACTGAGAATTTGTTAATTCTTTCATTCAATTAATCTGTTAATTCATTCAATTTCGACATTTTCAGGAAAACAAATTATCTCTAAACACATTTTACATGTATCATTCAAATATTTCCTCACCAAACAATTATCCATAGCAAACTCAAACTTTAAAAACCATAATTTTTAACTTATCATAAAATAAAAAATTTAATCCAGGTTGGGTATTCTTGAATTTTCATAATTTTAGGATTTCTTTTAATTTTGTACAGCAGAGAAAAATTATGACCTGGAATAGCTAACAATAATTATCACAATAGAATACTGAAAATCTGCCAACACATGAAATTGAAACAACCTCTTAAATGCCAACAATCAAAGAAATGCAGAGAGATTTGACAAATTCTGGTGTCGCTCGGAAATTATTAGCAACAGATTTCCTTGTTCAGTATAAACACATGCTTATTTATACATTTCATTCAAAACATTTATTTAACTAAAATAATTTATTCCATAATACCAAATTGTTACATTTACTAAAATACAGCACAAAGTCCGTAATCCGGACGTCAATTATCCGGAATGATCTATAATCCAGACCTCAAAGCCACAAACTTTTTTTTTGTATGCTTTATGCATGCATGTTTAATGTATAACAAACGGTATAAGCTAGGCTAAAATTATCTTTACTGATTCTAAGGCATTTAAGTTAATGTTGCGCTGTTCCTTAACCTTCTAAATGGATACGGCTTATTATTTTTTTGCAAACTGTTAGAGCAATTTTATAAAAATTAAGCCTGAACTTTCGATTATGTCAAAAAGAGTTTCCAATTCTGGAGCTGCCAAAGGATCTACAAAGCAAAAGCATGTTTCGATGTCCATCAAACAAAAAGTGGAATTGCTAAAAGAATGGATAAAGGCATATCAGTCTCAAAATTATGTGAGGAGTATGATATTGGATAGTCTTTTGTATATGGCATAAGCAAAAAGAAAAAGGAAATTTTTGAATTTTTTGTGGATTCTGACACCCCACTTGCAACGAATAACAGAAAAAGGGTTTGTTATGCTAAAGTTGACGATCATGACAAAGTGATGATTGAATGGGTCAGACAGCCTCGCCACGAGAGCGTGCCATTGACGGGTTCAGTGCTAATGGCTCAAGCCAAAATATTTCATGAAGAAATGAACTTAAACACCGAGTGCACATATTCAACAGGTTGGTTAACCAAATTTAAAAATCACCATGGTATAAGACAAAAAAAATTTCAGGTGAAAAAGCTTCAGCTGATACTGAAGCTGCTGAACAATTTGCAGACGAATTCATTGAACTCATTACTAGTGAACAATTATCTCCAGAACAAAGTTACAACACTGATGAAACTGGTCTTTTCTGGCAATTATGTACAGCGCAAAACACATGTTAGGCAACCCTCTACCAGAAAAGGCTTCAACTGGTATCAAAGAATTCTAAAGCAAGACTAACAATTTTAGCGTGCACAAATGCTGCAAGAACGCACAAGTGCAAATTTTTCGTAATCTGAAAACATGCAAGACCTCGAGCATTTAAAAAAGTAACGATTTTCCCCATTATATATCGTGCAAATAAAAGAGCATGGATGACACAAGCGTTGATGAATGATTGGTTTAAAAATCCTTTTACACCCGAGGCTCAGCGACATTTGAATTCGGTTGGTTTACCTAATGCCTTAAAAATAGTCCAGATTGTTGACAACAGTTTGGCTCATACTTCACTTAAAGTTTTAGTGAAAGATAATATATTTGTATTATTCTTCCCTCCAAATTGTACGCCTGTCATTCAGCCTATGAATATTGGAATAGTGACGAGCTGAAATGCAAATATAAAGTAGCATTTTTAAAATCTATGTTAAATTTCTTGAACAATGGCAAGACCATTCAAGACTTTTTGAAATTTTTTAGCATAAAATCTGCTGTGTGGAGCATCGTATGATTGTGGGAGGATGTGTCTCCAGATACATTAAAAAATACTTGGCATAATTTATGGACAGCTGCCATATTTCATGGTGAGGACAATGATGATAATAGCCATGAATTTGAAGGTTTTCGAACATCACAAATTAAAGGTGAAATTTTCCAGTTATTGGATTTTGTAAAGAAATGTGGAGAAGCGGTAATAAATGAAGATGATATAACAGACGTTTTTCATTACGAAGACAATGCCCCAATCATCAATTAATTTATGGACAGCGAAATCTGTAGTATGGTTCTAGATCCAGAAAATACCACTTCCGATAATGAAGAAAGTGACAGAAGTTATTGAAAACGAAAAAATTTCGATTGACAAGTTAGTAGGTATTCTCGACACAGCAATTACAGGACTTGAACAGTGGACCTTTGTAACTGAACAAGAAATTATGTCTGCTTATAAAATTAAAGAGAAAGTATTAGCACAAAAAAGCAACCTTAACAACTTAAAATTTGAAAGAAATGCTTAATAAAGTAAACAAATAAATATTAAGCTTTTTTTTTTTGTAAATTTTGATACCCTTTATATCATAATTGCTCTTTATTTCATAAATTATGATTTCATATTTTTAACTGTATAATTTCTGTATGCCATCTTTCCAGATTTAAACTGATGATCTATAATCCGGAAAAAACCCTAATCCAGAATCGACGAAGTCCCGACGAGTCCAAATTACAGACTTTGTAATGTATAACATGTATTATACTAAAATATTAATATTTATTTAACAAGCAACTTATTCAGAGCAAAATTTGTACCTCTAAATAAAGATAAATCTTGTGCTGCTGTTTTTAATCCAGAAAAATTGCAGTAATTAGAATTTTAATAACATTTTACTAACAAGGCAGCTGCCAAAATGTTTGCACGTGGGCTAAAGATACTAACTTTACATCAGGAACCATACCAAATAAATTCAAAGTGTTTTCACCCAAAGATGATTCCTGGATAAGATTTTAACACAAGTGGTGGATTTTATAATTTATCATCAAATATGAACATTAAATGATGAAGGATCTAACATTAGTTTATTGAAAAAAGGCAACTGACCATAGCGAAAATTTATTTAAATAAACGTGAATACATTTTTGAGCATTTTGAATGTAATATGCGTAATGCAGTTTGGATATATTGTTAAGAGTTGCCACTTCCATTCCATGCTATATTTTGCACCAGTAATAACATTTGGCAATGGCTTGGTCTTGTTGCCAGAAAAGTACCAAGACAGCATTAAGATTAAAATTTAAAAAAATAATTTTTTGGCATATCAGGATGGTAGAAACTAAAGCATCCTAAAATTTTAAAACAAACTGTAATCAATGCATGTTTGAAAAATAATTATTATATGCCTTTTAGCTTCATTTATTTATTTTGTATAAATATATCTAATATATATTTTTATAAAAAATCAGAAAGAAATGGATCCCTTTTATACGTTTTTGTAAAATTTAATTATATTAACTTTCTTATATAATCTAGTGACTTTTTGATTATAACTTGGAATTTTCAAAACTAAAATATGCATCTCAGGTCCTAAGCTATAAGGAGTTTTTGGTCTTAATATTTATGCTTACATGAAGAAACAAATATGGTTATCAACAAATAACTAAGCCTAATATTGAATGTTTAAAATAGTATACAAAAAACTTCTTATAACGAAGCTAAATGCACAAATATATTTAAATCTGTTACATTACTTTGTATCCTTGATTGATTCCATTAATAAGCTGTGGATCTGGAGGTTTCCACCACACATGGATTGCTGTAGAATTAACTGCTTCAGCTCGAACATCCGTAGGTGCTGACTGAGGCACTTCAAAAGAAAGTATTTGTGAACATACAAAATTATGTGAGAAAACATAAATATTACCAAACTAAGAAAAACAATTACCTCCTTCTCGTGTGCGAATGTATATACTCCCAGAATAAACCCCAACTCCTTTTTCATTATATGCTGCCACTTGAATTTCATAATTCTGCCACACAATTAAATCTTGAAGAAGAAAACTGTGTTGAGCTTCATTTGTGATATTGTTATAAGCCCATGGACTTGCAGCATAGCCAGCAAGTTTGTAGCGAATCATGTAGCCAAGTAAATTGCCATTACGTTCATCTTCAGATGGTTTCTGTAATCCAATAAATAAATAAAGAAAGAATATCTTTAGACTGCATTATACATTTTTAAAACACAAAATTGCTCAGAAAATTTTCAAATAAACTTTCTAATGCACATTAATTTATAAAATGCAAACAACATATATGCATACATACATAGGAGAAGAATAAAAGCAATTTATAGACAAAATTTTAAATTAATGAATGTAAATTTGATAATAGTTTCAATAATAATAAATTAATTTCAAGCTGATTTCCTTTCATGGGCTCAAAACGAAAGGAAAACAAAACAAACAAAAATGCAGGGTCTGTGATCAAAACAGGAGCAAGTTTAAACAGGGAAATTGCAGATATTTTTCTTGATCCATTCTTTTCTTGATCTCAAATTTAGATTCCACTGATATTCAAACTTTAAGGCAGTGTGACCCAATAAAAATACAAACGAACCTAAAAAACATTTTTACAACCCCAAGGCAGAGCATCAACCCTTAGTTATATACAGTCAAAAGTCGTTAATTTGGACACCCATAATCCGGACCTCAAATCTACAAACTTTCTGCGCATGCGTCGCTTTGACGCATGCGCGTAAGACCTTTACGGCTGCGAATATGTGTGTGCGCATGCGCATAATACGTTTACGCAAGCGCGTTTAATGTATAACGGACAGTATAAAGCTAAGCTGAAATTATCTAATTCAGGTTAATGTTGCAGATTGCGTTGTTCCTTAATCTTCGAATTGGATCCGGCTTATTATTTTTTGCAGACTGTTAGAGCAATTTTATAAAAGTAAGCTTGAACTTTCGATTATGTCAAATAGAATTTCCGATATATATTTACTAATATGTAAAAGGATCTACAAAGCGAAAGTATGTTTCGAAGTCCATTAAACAAAAGTGGAATTGCTGCAAAAAATGGATAAAGGCATATCCTTTATTATCTAAATCATTCCGAAAATGTTTATCAATTTCAAACGCTGCTCTGCTGGGGAAGGGAAACGACACGGCGCGCAATGAATTGGAAGTTGATCTGTCAGCACTATCCTTATCTTCAGGGCAGATGTTTTTATTTTATTTGGCTTATAATTCCTTACTAAATGTAGTATTTCATCTCGATGTACTCCGTCTTTGATATGATTTAAATCAAATTCCTCGTCATTATAATTCGCTTCCGATAGTGAAGAAAGTGACACAGAGGTTATTGAAAACGAAAAAATTTTGATTGACAAATTAGTCGGTATTCTCGACACAGTAATTATAGGACTTGAACAGCGGAACTTTTGTAACTGAAGAAGAAATTATGTCTGTTTATAGAATTAAAGAGAAAGTATTAGCACATAAAACAAAGCAACTTAAACAACTTACATTGAAAGAAATGTTTAATAAAGTAAAAAAAAATAAAATATTAAGCTCTTTTTTTTTTTTTTTTTTTTTTTTTTGGCAAATTTTGATACCTTTAGATCATAATTGTTCTTTATTTCATAAATTACGGTTTCATATTTTTAATTTTATAATTTCTGCATGCCATCTTACCAGATATAAACTGATGATCTATAATCCGGAAAAATCGATAATCCGGAATCGCCGAAGTCCCGACGAGTCCGGATTAACGACTTTTGACTGTACTATCAAGTCGGTTAAAAAAAATCAAGGTTTTATTCACCTTGTAACCCCTCTCTCCCTAAATTTCTGTGACCCTAAGTTTGACTATTATCGCTGGACTAAATGATCATGAGTGGCTGCAGGAGTGGAGAAGAAAGAGAATAGTGTGCATCATCTACAACAGGATGACAAAAAATGACATCAACAACAAGTTTCCACAGAGAATAAGGAAGTAGTTGGTGTATTCAGATTTGATCTGGAGCTATGGCTGCTAGAAAGACATTAGAGTGAACTAAACCCAGTTTGAAGAATAACAATTTTATTTTAGATGTGCAGCAACTCATTGACAATGACTCTTCTATCACAATTTGTGGGATTTTTTTTTTTTTTTTTTTTTTTTTTTTTTTTTTTTTTTTTACATCTGCACCACAGGAAGAAGATATAGACATTTACTAGGAAGAATCTGCCAGCATACATGGCCAATCACTCCAAAAAACTCAGCAATGACTTGAGATTAACCCAATTATTTATAATGTGTGGGATGCAAGTCAAAGGATCACTAATGAGACTGCCTGTATCAGAAAGATAATCTGCCAGGCATTTGAAGTTTATAAAATACGCCTATTTTTATATGCAAGGTTATATGGAGGCTGCAACTGATACTAAAGGTGCATTTATTGAATACTTCCACAAACTCTTATTCCTTGAATTTTCCATAAATATTTTAAATTAGGACTTTTTGAAATGTTTTTCTTTAATACACACACACATACAATGGATGGACAAAAATATGGAAATACCTTGTGAAATGCATGTTTGAAAAGAAAGATTGATTTTAATGAAATATGTAGGTGGCGCTGGCGTTTTTGACTACTGACGCCACCTATACAACTTCGCAAATGTGCTAAACAGTTCAGTTGTTGTCGGAGTACTGTTATGTGAGGTTGTCATTGCATTATGTCAGAGTTAACAGACTTCGAACGTGGGCAAATTGTTGGAGCACGTATGGTAGGTGCTTACGTAAGCAAGGTAGCCGAGGTGTTTAGTGTTTCAAGAGATACTGTATCGAAGATTTATTTTGCATATTTGAAAAGCGGAAAAACATCATCTGCTAAATCAGAGCGTGGACGAAAGTGTGTCCTGAGTGATCGTGACAGACGATCATTAAGGGCAATTGTGACGAAAAATAAGAAGTCCACAGCTGCAAAAGTTACTGCTGAAATGAATGTTATGTTACCGAACCCTGTGAGTACCAAAACAATTAGAAGGGAGCTTCATAAACAGGGAATTGCTGGCCGTGCTGCAATTGAGAAGCCACTCATCAGTGATGCTAATGCCCATAACATGAATCAGTGATGCTAATGCCTGGACTATAGCGCAGTGGAAGCGAGTAATATGGTCTGACGAGTCTTCTTTCACATTATTTCCCACTTCTGGCCGAGTTTACGTCTGGAGACGCCATCTCAAGCCTATAATACAGACTGCTTGTTGCCAAAAGTGAAACATGGCGGGGGTTCTGTTATGGTTTGGGCAGCCATATCGTGGTTCTCTGCTAGCCCCATGATAACTGTGTCAGGGCACATGACTGCCAAGACTTATGTGAACATTTTGGCCGATCAAGTTCATCCCATGGTACAAACTTTGTTCCCCAATGGTGATGGTGTCTTCCAAGACACCAAAGCCCCTGTGTTCTTACAGCTTACATTGTCCAGGACTGGTTTTCTGAGCACGAGGATGAGTTGTCCCATCTCCTCTGGCCACCACAGTCACCAGACCTGAATATTATCGAACCTTTGTGGTCTACATTGGAACGGAAAGTGTGTTCTCGTTATCCACCGCCAACATCGTTATCTGAACTTGCCACCGTTTTGCAGGAAGAATGGTATAATATTCCCTTGGCAAACATACAGGAACTGTATTTATCCATTTCGAGAAGACTGCAAGCTGTTTTGGATGCCAACGGGTTTCCTACACCATATTAAGCAAAAGAAATATGTTTTTTAAAGGTGTTTCCATATTTTTGTTCAACCCCTGTATATATATATGCATATATATTATATGTGTGTATATATATATGTGCATATATACATATATATGTGTGTATATATACAGATGTGTAGTGTTTGTAAAAAAACTTCCTAGGTATATGAACCACTACCGACCAATACGTTCAGCCAATCGAAATAAAATTTCAGATATTGTTATTTGAAGATATATGCTTGAAATTGTGATGATATAAAACAATAGAGCTTTCATGGTTATGGTTAAGACCTAAAAAAGTTTGAAATTTTCAAATGGCAACACCTACTTTTTTCCTGTGCAAATTGATCAGCGCATTGAAAAACCATAAATGACCTTGAAATGATATATATATGATAAAAATTGCAGGCATAAAACATTTGCAAAGAAGAGTATTGTAAAGGACCAATGACAGCACAAGAGAGTAGAGGGAAAAATTTTTTATTGAAATTACTCATTTTTTAAATGTCCACCTTCGCAGATAACACATTTCACACAGGAGATTGCAGACAACAATGACTAATGTCATTGCAAGCAGAATCTGTATAATTTCACAATTCATGCCACTTTTCAATTCTGATAAATTTCATAAATTTGATGTGTACACCTTATATTTCAGATAACCCCAGAACTAGAAATTCATCGGACTATGGCCAGGGGATCAAGGCGACCATGAAACTGTAAAGTTATGGAAAATGACTCAATCTTAAAATGTACAAACTGAAAACTTGTAATTCCAATGAAAGTTTTTCAGGTTGTCATTGGTCCTTTACAATGCTATCCTTTGTAAATGTTTTAGGTAGCATTTCGTTACATGTGTATTGTTCCAACGCCATTTTAAAACTTCAAAATGTCTTCTTTATAACCATAACTGTGACAGCTCTTTTGTTTTAATTCATTATAATCTCAAACACATACCTTCAAATAACAATATCTCAAATTTCATTTCGATTGGTACCGCACATTCATATATCAGGAACTTTTTTTATTACCACACTTATTTTAAAGCTACGGTCTTTAAATGTCACTTCGTGTTCATGGTGCATTCATATTTTCCATCCTAATATTTTTGCAGATGGCTTCCAATGGTTTTCCTGTGACAGCATCTAACAATCTGCCATCTTGTCAGGTTTGCATTGCTATGGGATTCTGAGTTGTCTAAGTGTACCCTACCCCTTCTAAACGTTTGTCCCTCTAGTTTTGAATCAGCTCCTGTGTATGCATAGTTTGCACATAAACACACGCACTTTAAAATAAAAAATAAATATAAATAGTAAACGTAACTAACCTGCCATTGCAACATGATTGACGTAGATGATCTAGCTCCACCTACAACACCCTGTGGTGGTCCACTAGGAGCTGCAAAATAAAAGAAATGTGTTACAGGGGAAGGTATCACAAACATAAGACTTGATACACTTTTACCATAACTAATTTCACTTTCACTGGTCCAAATGGGAAAAAGAAAGAATTCACGAAAATTCCCATCTCCTTAATTTTGACAGTCTAAAATACTTTACACTTGTTACAAATGAAATATTTTTATCAGAATTTCAGAATTTTTATACAACAGGTAACTCTCAATTTCCCTGTTATGACCAGATAAGTATGATCATGAGCAGCTCATCTGATATTATGAATAGATCTGAAACATAATAATCATCCAAATATAAAGGGAAGTCATGTGTTTATTATTATTTTTTTATTTTAAAACATATACTTTTTGACACTATAAGTGAAACTGAAGAAACTTGTTTTATTCTCAAAATATTAAAAAAATAAGTACGGTTTGCCGCTGCTGTGAATCTTGTATAACTATTGATAGTCATGAATAATCATCAAAACAAAAAAGTGCTTTTTTTTTTTTTTTTTTTTTTTTTTTTTTTTTTTGTTGTCACAGATCTTGTTACTAGTGACGACAGTACAAGTCTACCCAGCTTCATCTCAATTTTGATTGAAAATAGTCTGAGGGATAAAATCTAAGGCTATACTATTCTTCCATTACTTTTAAGTACTCCATTACTTTTTTACTTTTTACTTTACTTCCATTACTTTATTTTATTCTTACATTTTAAGTGGTTGCTCTGATTAAAACTGATTTCAAATGATTGTACAGAGTCACTGTAGTTACAAATATCCATGCCTCATGTGGGATTCAAACTATAATCAATTAGCAGAGGAATCTGGAAAAAAAAAAAAACTATATCAAACAGGATGGGCTACATTTCTCTAATTCTTTTCTTTGAGAAGCTAAACAAATGTCTGAATATTTGCACAACAGGATTTTCAACTAGTATTCAATTTCTTGCAACATTCACATATTTCACATAAGATATAAGAGTACATTAAAACACTGTAAACAATAAACAGAAATTAAATAAAAAAAAATACTTAAACATTGGGGGAAAATGTGTTAAAAGAGAAAATTTATAAAGAAAGAATAACTAGGACTATTTGTATCTTCATTCATTTAAACTAATCAGTCAAAATCATCCCTACACTGCCAGAATCGCATAAACGATATGTGATAAGGTGGGAATGTTATTTAACAGCTGCCTGGCATACTGAGACACTATTTTGTAAGTTATGTGTGCATATAATGTAGAAGGCTGTTGATATAATCTAGTTTTATAAAGACCTGATTGTCAGCCCAAGAGCTAGGAACAAGTACCTTGAAACCTAAACTGCTCATCAGGCATACACAGGCTTGCTGCCATCAGTAGCTATGGAAAGTGGAAGGACATTGAAATTAGCAGTAGATGCTGAGGTATTAGATTTTCAAACTAGTACAGTAAATGTGGGTATTAGACTGTCCTGCATGGTGTCTGTTGGTGGCTCAACTGACAGCTGAATAAAACGTAGATCTAATTACAAGTGCATGAGCACAGAGTTCATTCGATTCTATTGGATACGAGAGACTGCAGCAGATGCCTCTCTCATGTATAACCCAGTATCACTAACATGTATGGCTACAGTAGGCCATTAACATAATAAATGCAACAACTGAAAAGAGTTGCAAAGTGATATGAATCATAATTTCTTTTACATCACATCTATAATAGTTAAATAATTATATCTATAATATTCATCACATCTATAATAATTGATTAAAACATGTGCTGAATGTAAAATGCTGATGACTATTATGTTTTAATGGATGTTTTCATGGACAAACTGAGACAAATGATTTTTGTAGAACATATGATGACCATACGAGACCTAATGACCAGTTCCCCTTTTCATAGTTTGTTTTCCCCACAGAAAATGGACTCTTCTAGCAGGGCATTGTTTATAGTCACAAGTTGTGTTACAATGATTTAAGAAACATGGTAATAAATTGAAATTGATCTCATAACTCGTCAGATATTAACCATTCTAAAGACATATGGAATGCCATTAAGCATCAGCAGATTCACCTTCACAATCAACAGGAATTGCACGGCCTTTACTTATAGATCTAGCAAAAGTTTCCTCCAGTCATTTTGCAAGGACATGGCTAATCCATAACAAGATGGGTTGCAAGTGTTTTGCATGCCAAAGGTAGTCAACATTACATTAGGAAAGTGGTTATAATGATTTGACTGCTCGATGTACCTAATTTTTAATTATAATTATTCACATAAATTTTCATAAGAGAAAAATTTTGGATGAAATAAGGTTCTTAATACTCACGCTCAGGAGGCAAATGTATCACTTCTGTAGCAGCACTTGGATTACCTTCACCAACGCCATTGACTGCACTCACCCGGAATTCATAACTAGAAGCAGGTTTCAAGTCTGTCAAAATGATGTGCCTCTGATTCCCGGAAATATTTGTTCGAGCAGTTACCCATGGCAATAGATATTCCATTTCAGAATCTTTAAAATAAAAAAATAAACAAACAAAACTTTGAAACACAGTAAAAAAGATAATGATAACACTTCATATTCAAATTATTTAATATGGCTTCAATGAAAATTCAACTAATACCCCGTTCAGTAAAAAACTTCCTGAAATTACCCTCTTCATCACTAGCATGAGTTATATATAGCATCTACAAAATGCTTCCTATTAGCAATTGCTGATTAAATCCAGCATCCATAAAATATTTGTCCAATTATATTCCCCCTTGGGATCCACCATATGCTTCACAATCAATGCTAAGAACCAACTATATCCCCCAGAATCCATGAATTAATATATTTACTTATGTATTTTCCCCTCTTTTCCTAGTAATTTCACTGATTAAAAACCAGGAGGGGAAATGTACATGGTGCTAACTATTTCTGAAGAGACAGCTTAAATGATCGTAACAGCACATTAAAAAGCACACATAAAGACAAACTATTACTATTATACTATTATATGCATAGGTGAAAGTACTCGACACTGCCTGTGCCTTATGCACGGTTTCATTTAGCAGGATGGAAGTAACTTTTATGAAATCTCACATAGACATTGATTTTCTTCCCACTTTCATACAACCTGAATCACACAAAATTTTACCAAGTTAAGCATACTGTCACAGTCTACTCCGGAAAGAAAAATGGTAATATCACTTTATCACGCATCAGGCCACACGTTCACTTTAGGGGTGTTACATTCGTACTCTACGTGGGCATAAGGATTTTCAGCAGCCCACATTCGAATGTTATGGCGATGAACATGTCCACTAACAGGGAATGTCGCCTAATCACTAAACACAATCTTCCGCAGAAATCGATTATCACTGTGGACCTCATGAAGTATATCTATAGCAAACGCAAATCATTTGGGTCTATCCGTCGGTTTGATAGAGTGCAACAGCTGCAATTTGTAAGGGTTTCTTGGGTAGCTCTTCCATATAGTCTCTACAGACTTGTCACTGACCGATGGCCTGCCAAAACAGGGTTTGTCCAACAAACTGCCAGTATCCTTCAACTGCTTATCCCACCGATTAATGTTATTTCTATGTGGTGGCGGTTCGTTGAACATGCGACGATATTCGTGTTGCATTTTGGTCACGGATTCGAATTTGGCAAGCCACAAAAGACACTGAACTTTCCTCTGTACGGTCTACATCTCGATTGGTGTGAGCATGGATGGGCTGATCTGCTCCTTCGCAGTTTGTGGTGCTGCGTCATCACCTGCACATGCTTGCACATAAAACTATGGAAACTTGGAGAGTTTTCCTTTGGTTTGATGAAGATTTCACATTTCTATCTTGTTTTGTTGCTTTCCTGTGAACGGTCAAATGTGCACCATGAATTTACGGACATGCTATATTTAAAAATGAATGAATATGGCACTATTTAACAGTATTAGTAAGAAAGTTAGTGGGAATGCAACAACAGCAACATGAAACTAAAATGGGTGAGAGTGATTTTGAAAATGTGTAGAAATATTAATATTTATTTTTTGTAAGAAGCAATTATAAATCCTTGCTTAGTATGCATGACTCACAATGACAGCAGAAAAACAACAAAGGCGATGTGAACCTAGGATGGCTGTTGTGAGCATAACCCTTTAACATACAAATACCCTGGTCTGGACCTTGTGGGATGGTTATTCGAAATTTTAAGTAGCTAGTAACCTTCCTCCTATTCTGAAGGTTAAGTGTGCATACTTTCACCATGATCATAATAAAACTGTAGATTTGCATGAATTACATATGCACAAACAAACAAATCTGCCCTTTTCTTTGCATATATAGATGATGTTAATGAATCCAGCCAATGGACTATGCACTGCTGTATGGAAAATAAAAATGCTTTCATTCAAGAAATGGAATTACATTTTCTCTTAAATCACAGAGTACATTTATTGAATTTGAAAGACAAATATATATACTGCCTTTTCCTGAGTGGCAACAAAATTCTTACATATTGCCAAGTTTTTTTGATAAAATTTGAAAACTAAATACCTCACACTTTGCAGCGTGGTAACATACATCACTTAGTTTTTAATCAAAATTATGTTAAATTAATGTAAAATATGTCTAAATGAACAGTGCAAATCCCATGGGGTAGTTTTTCAGACAGCTTACATAGACAGTGACCTTCATCTTGTTTTGAAAGTCAAGTGTGTCAGGTTTCATCAAGAAAAAAATAAAACTGTATATCTGTAAAAAATGACAAATGCACAGATACTCTTTATTTATATAAATGTATATAAATAATTATATGAATGTAAATGACTTATCTATTTCAAAAATATTCATTTTTACTTGCACAAAATGATTTCCTATTTGTGTATAAATTTTACAATGTTTCCATGAGTTTTCTAAATCATTCGCTGAAAAAACTAGGGCAGATATGCAAGGGGGAGAAATTATATGAGTAAAAATACTATTTCTTAGTGGCTAGAAGTGACTATATCTAGTATCCAATAGCCAGACAATTCTTATGCTCATGCTACATGCTACTGGTAGGACAAATCATTTACTGGTGATATAATGATGTTCAATTTCACCACTGCAAATTGATTCAGATGAGTAAATTAAATATCATTACCTCTTCATTGCATATATATATATATAATATATATATTCTTAAGTTTGTATGAATTAAGTGTTATTATTTATTTTGAATTTTACCATATTTTTAAAATATTACAATATATATAGAACAATAATGAAGAATTGCAAGACTAGCTTTTAAAAATGAGAATTGAAATAAAACAGAATCCTCTTTCAAGCTTGATAGGAATCAGGGAATTTACTTCAGATTTTTTGGGTGCTTTGAAATACATAAACTGTTTAACGAAACTCAAATGGAATTTAGATACTCAGCAGTAACGATGCACATAAAGATTCTAGGATGCCTCGACACAAGGAATGTGATTAAACATACCTTCTTAAACTAAGAAACAAGGGCACTACAAGATCTATATCTGTGACTGACAGTGAAACATTTAAAAATGAAATTGTTTCTAACTTTTATCAGCAGAGATTTAACAATCTGAATACATGAGGGATATTTCATTTCAACAAACAGGTACACAAGAAAGCTTTCTACTGCTCAAATGCACAAAGCACTTTTTTTTTTTTTTTTTTTTGGCCTTTCTAATGATGACGCAATGACTTTCTGCATATATTATTTGCATCCTGCTAGTGGATTAAATTTTTCTCCCCTCCCCCTAAAACATTGTCATTTCAAACTTTTCGTTGCAAATTTTAGACAGATCAATTAACAAGACATATATAACGCAAATATACAAAGTTTAAAAAAGAGGAGATAGTAACAACACAAAAGCATTCACATTACCAGTGGAAGGGACAACTCTCATTTGCACCACATAATTTGTTATTGGACTATTTCCATCAAAAGCCTTAGACCAACTCACATTGACAGTTTTCGGATATGAATTTTGCAGGACAGCTTTCACATTATTAGGTGGATGAGGAAGTTCTAAAAAAATTTCAAACAGAATTTAAAAACACAACACACACACACACACAAAAAAAAAAAAAAAAAAAAAAAAAAAAAAATCTAAATTATATCATCAATGCAACATAAAAGAAATTCATTAAATTTTTCATTCTTACATAGGTGCTTAGGGACTATAATCAACTTTTTAAATTACAGGCCTTTCAGTAGAACTGCCAGTTAAAACCATATTAACCAATATTTTTTTTTCTTTCCAAAATATTTATGGAAAATATAAGAATACATAATATAAAAAAACATTTTCTTCAAAATTTATCAAGCATTATAAAAATTGCATAAACAAATTACGAGGGCAATCCCAAAAAAAAGGTCTCCTATATTTTGGGGACGTAGAGAAAGTTTTAATACGGTTGTTGGCAACACTGTTGTGAGTGGTGCCTTCTCCGCTACCACATAAGCACGCAGGCGCTTCGCTCGGATGCTCAGTCTTGGCTTGGCAGCCATTTGAAATGCAGCTCTCGACAAACGTTACCGCCAAGTGCGAAGTGCGCGCAGTTATTCGATTTTTGAATGCAAAAGGCATTAAACCAGTTGAAATTCACTGCCTATTGACGGAAGTGTATGGACAGTCGTGCATGGATGTCAAAAACATTCTCAAGTGGCGTAGAGAGTTTACAGCCGATCGTATTGAAATTCATGACAAAGAAAGAAGCAGGAGCCCGTCAATTGCCGACGAGACAATCGCGAAAGTTGAGGAACTCATGCGTAAAATCACTCTGGATGCTCTCTGCATTTTGGTTCCTGAGGTTTCCAAAAGCACCATCCACAGGATTTTAATGGAAAAGTTGCAATATTAGAAGGTGTGTGCAAGATAGGTGCCACGTATCCTGACAGAAGACCACAAACGGCAACGGGCACCCAGCAATTTCCACCTGTTCCCCAAGTTGAAGGAACATTTGTCTGGATGACTGTTACCAATGATGAGGTGAAAGATGAGGTTCAACGCTTCCTGAAGGGCATGGCGGCAAGCTGGTATGACATGGGCATTGTAAAACTGCCACAGCGTCTACAAAAATGCATCGACTGAAATGGCAATTATGTTGAAAAATAAAGCATTCTTCAATCTTTAAAGTGATGTAGCAATTATAGAAAATAAACGGTTCTTTGTATATCTAAAAATATAGACCTTTTTTTTTTGGGATTGCCCTCGTATATTCTCAATATAAAATGCAACACAGTGTAGCACATGCACAAAATTCAGAACGATTTGTGTTAACAAACTATCTATATGGAATGTCAAAAAAAAAAAAAAGTAGCCCACCTTTAGCACAGATGTCATGCTATTTGGAGGAGGTTGTAGCCCCTAGATTAGCATTCTGTCCGCTGACTCTGTGTGTCCAGTGACTTGGTGCCACCAAATAAAACAGTGTTTGTTTCAATTTTGTTCTGCCTTCTCATTCATACTTTTTGTGCTCATTGTTTCAGAAAGGTAGTGTCTATTTTATCATACTATAGCCAAATGTGGGCAACTTTTTAATGGGCTACCCCATATATGTACACAGGCCTTTATGACAAGCAGTGATATTTTATGATGACTTTATGACATTAATAAGATTCTTCACTTACTAATTAAACACTTTTTGTTTATAGTCTTTTTGAAATGATGAACATACAATTTGAACATACATCGTCCACACCATAGCAACCTACAAAAAATCTAATTTTTGTAAATAAATAGCTAGCTGCTAAGAGACTCAAGTCCTATGCTTATTGACCTAATAGTAATTAGGAAATTGTATACTACTGTAATGTATGCCTATAAATAACAGATTGCTTCTGTTTCACTTCTTGGCAAATTAAATAAACGCATGATACAAATTGCAGCAAAAATTTAAAAAAAATAAGTCTAAGTGCTGCCCTATGAAATTTTGGCAAGAAATACATAACCAAAAAACGATGCAATGGACATATCCCAGATATGCATGTGTTCTGATATGATTGTGATACAAACATGCTTGCTCAGTGATTCTAAAACTTACTACACCCTGGACTTCTTCTTATAGCAAAAACTTAATCATGAACCCCCAAGTGAAATAACTGCATAATAGAAAAATTATAAATTTAACTTTGATGCCTTGAATGATAATAAAATAGAAATAAGACATTTTGATACTTAAACCAGCATTTATTGAAATTAAAAATTTTGTTTTAAAATACAAAAACATGCTTTTTTCTTTCCAATGAGATGGGTGAATCCTGATTAGATTATTTACGTTGGGCTCTGTGTTTCTCAGTAACATTTGTATGTCACCATAAACACTAATTTCTAATTTTTTTTTTTTTTTTTTTTTTTTTTTTTTTTTTAATAATGACGAGGCTTATAACTGTACTAAATCCATATTCTGTCAAAGAGGAAGTTGAAAGCAATCAACAGCTTTTGTTAACACTAACCTGTAAAGTACACAATAAAATGTGTATCTATTTTTGTAACCGGAATTTGTGTTATCCTCATTCAAACATTGGTTTCAGCTCTTCATTTATGGATAATTGAATGAATTCCTCTTGTATTTGTATGGATTTATCAGAATTCATGGGTCTATTTGTAAAAGGGTCCAACATGCAATCACAAATAACCAAGTGAAGAATGTCTTCAAATCTTTGGCTGAGGTCAGAATGAAAAGCCAAGTCTTGAGAATAAACAAGCAAATCTTCATCTTGTTTTTGACTGCTGAAAGATTTGAAAACTAAGTGTTCTCTCCCCGTGTTTTCTTTGCAAAGAAAATGAATTTATGAATGATTTATTATGAATGCAGATATTTTACTTTTAGTTCTGATTAAATTTAATTGATCAACTTATAGCTTCTAATTGGTTTCACTAAATTCGGCAATAATCTAAGTTGAGTTCTTAACCAGTGGTACACGTACCACTGTTGGTACGCAAGAGAAAAATGGGTGGTACGCAAAGAAGCAAAGTATTTTTAACTGTTAAATTCAAAAATTAAAACCCCGACATCCTGACTGAGTTTTTTTTTTTCTCTAACACTTGTAAATTTATGCGATGTGAGCTTTGTTCAAGGTCAATAGCCACTTACAGACTTTAGCAAGAGCAAGAGACAGTCCATGAAAGCCTGAAAAATTGCTTTTAATCAAGCTGTGAAAATTGTTAATTTTATTAAAAGCCGAGCTTTAAATTCAACAATATTTCGATTTTATGCCAAGAGATGGGCAGTGAACCTGAAATGCTTTTGTTACATTCCAAAATATGGTGGTTATCCAGAGGCAAAGTTTTAAATCATCTTCTTGAACTTCGATCAAAAATTCAAAATTTCCTCCATGATTCAAAATTAGAATTATAAAAATGTTTATTTAGTGAATTATGGCTGGCACTTTTAGCATATTTAGCTGATATTTTTGGAAAGTTAAATGAATTAGATCTAGGATTAGATAAAGAAAGTTTTAATTTGTTTACTATTAGAGGTAAAATAAATGCAGTGATTAAAAAACTTGAGCTAGTAATGAATTAGATAATAATATTTCAAATGTTTTAACACTTTTAGAGAGTTTTCTAACCGAAAGTAATTTGAAAATAAAAGCAAAATTAGCATCCGACATTAAAAATCATTGTTTTTTATTGATAAATAATTTCAACAGGTATTTTCTCCAACAACTATGAAAAAGAAAATTATATTAGAAATCCTTCTTTTTTTCAAATGTACCTGAAATTTTATTTTGTGACAAAAAAGAACAATTCATAGAAACTTCCTGTGATCGAACTCTAACTGAAGATTTCAAAAGCAACACTTGTTAACTTTTGGCTTAACTGGGAAAAAAAAAAAAAAAAAAAAAAATTTCGAAGCATTTTAAATAAAGCTATTAAATTTTTATTACCTTTTTGCACAACCTATATATGTGAACAAGAATTTTCTTCCACGTCATATTTAAATAATAAATACAAAATAAAATTAAATGCAGATTCTAATTGAAGCTTTAAACTCAGTGAAATAAGACCACTCATAAAGAAATTGATTTCTCTTAAACATGCCCAAATTTCACACTAAATTTTAGCCAATAGGTTGTGCAAATGGCAAAATATTTTTTTCGCCCAAGGGACGTTAACCCAGAAGAGCTATTAGTTTCAAAATGGCATTTTGCGTCGATTCACTTTTCAAACTATTGCTACCAAATATTATCGCCAAGTATTATATTTAAAGAAACTAAATATTAAAAAAATCTGCATGGATGCATAAATGTTTCTCACATTGTCAAAAAACAATGGTAACTAGATCCATCAAATTTTGAATAACGTAGTCTTCCAACCGAACATGGCCACTTAGAAACCCAAATTTTGAATTTCTTTTACTATTTACTCCAAATTTTGCAAAACTTTAAGGAATTTTTGATTAACAAACTCAACGATTTCAAAGTGAGCAATGACAACACTGTACCAAAAACATTTTAATCTTCCAACGTGCGAGACTGTGTATCAGAACTTCTAAAGGTATGCTGTTTTTAAATACTTTTGTGATATTGCTGTTGAATTGAATTTTGTGTTTTAAGTGGAAAGAAAATTATATTTAATAAAGAAGGTAATGCACCAAATGTTAAAAAAATGCCTTTTTGGGCATAATATAAAATCTGTAAGCATTCAGATTTTTCCCTTTCTTTTTTAGCCCAGAAGGACTATTAACTTCATTTTGGCATTTTGCATTGAAAACATAATATCCATAAAACATAATTTCAAATTGTTGTCACCAAATATTATCACCGTGTTATATTTTTAAAAAATTAAAATTTCATATTTTGTAACACTTTAGCGAATTTTTGATTAACAAACTCAATGATTTCAAAGTGAGCAATGGCAGCGCTGTGAGGGGGGAAAAAAACATTTTTATCGCCAGTGCACAAGACTATGTATCGAAAATTCTAAAGATATGCTCTTTTAAATACTTTGTGATACTGCTGTTAAACTGAATTTTATGATTTAAGTGCAAAGAGCATGATATTTAATAAATAAAGGTAACAGACAAAACATTAAAATAACACACAAAACATTAAAAAAAAGTCCCTTTGGGCATAATATAAAATCTGAAAGCTTTCGTTTTTTTTTTTTTTTTTTTTTTTATTATTTTATTTCTATTCATTCAGAAATTTAAAAATAATCATTGTAAAATGTGGTGGTGGTATTAAAGGTTTTCAATTTTTGTTTAGATGGTTGTCAAAAGGTTATTACGGCTAAATTTGGCAATAATCTAGGTAATTTTTTTTAATTAATTCAATTGAGCTCCAAATCTCAGTCTTTCTTTAATTTCCAAGAATTCTAACAATGAATCAAAGAGTGCATAAATTCAATTTAAATATACACTTTTCGAAACAGCAAATGACTGTAATCTTCATTTTCAAAACAAAGTTGAATAAATAATATCTCATTTAAGGTATTCCTTTTGATTTTGTTAACTGCTTCTAAGGATATAAGCTAGCGAGCCAAGCAAATACTCACCAAGATTTTCGATGATTAAATGCTGTCAATGAATGACACAATGCACAGATAATATATTCATTATAGCACCTGTTTTAATATAGCAGAAGCATTGGTGTCATCCTCTCACTGCTGAAGGATTATCAGTAGCAAGGGGGAGGATATACTCAAGGGTTTCACACCCAAAAAATTTTCTTTCACAACCAAAAATCTTTTTAATTCATTAAGTATTGCTTCACCTTTCATATCATTTTCCAAATATCTGACAAATAACAATGCTTGGGAAGTCTGTTTTTCTTTAAGAAATCTCGTATAAGCTAAAAATAAGTTTATGCAAGATTTGATTCCTAGCAAAATTGACAAGTCAAGCTGAATACGAAATTCAGATGTTTTTAAAGTAGCATCTATTGTTTTAAGGTAACAACAACTCTCATAAAGAATTTTCTATACACTGAGCTATTTCATCAATCCCTCTTGCTACAGAAGGATTTATGAAATTCAGTGTAATTCTTTATTTAAAACATTTTGGAAGTTCACACATGATGTAAAAACAGACAATTACCATAAATCACTTTGGGGGTTAAAATGTAAAGGGGAACCTAGTTCTCCATTACATATGATGATTAATGATTGGGGATTTGATGCTGATAACTGATTGACAACTTTTTTTCAAAATAAAGGAAAAAATGTGTCTTTCTTTTTGTGGTAAGGCACGTAGAAAATTATTTGAAACAAATGGATTTGTGATAGCTTTTACTGGAAAGTTTACAGTATCGAATGCTGGTTTATGCAGCACAGTATGCACTACTTCATTTACAGCTGGCAGAATACATTTTTTACCAATGGTGTGTGGCTTTCTGATTTTTCTATCAGTAAAGAAATGTTATAAGAAGCATGGTGTCTAGCTTCATTTCACTCAAATATTGTTGCAATGATGGTGTTGTCAAATACTTTTCCTTTGATTGCTTTGAAGTTAAATCTTTTAACCTTTCTGTTGCTATGGGCTTTTGCCAAATATTCCTTAAGCTTAACTGATTCATTTTCATAAAGCTTTATTGAGCAGGAGGCGTGCAGGTAAAGTACCATAGCCTGGTAACAGAATAAAACTATATTTTAAATATTTAGCAGTATTTTATCTAAATTTTTCTTTGGCTCACTCATATTGTTATCAGTAAAAAAGGGACACAATTAGTTTTATTTTCCTCAGAATGTAAAACTGCTGCCAACTTATTTATTTCCACTTGTTTTAACTTTTGTAATAATACAATTACTTTAATTTATATTAAACCATTCACAGACCCTCTGATATTGTCCATGCACTCACCCAAATTACTTTTAATTTAGCACAAATCCCCTCAGCAGTCATAAGGACACCTGAGGGTCCATACAAACCACTTTGAGAACAACTGCTTTAACTGACCTGAAGTCGATATTTGGGGAGGTATTCCCATATTAATAAAGGGTAATATGGGTAAGTACCCCATATTAAATCTATCTCTATCTCTTATCCCTTCCCATATTTAAAAAAAAAAGAAAGAAAGAGAGAGAAACAATAACCCCTCAAAAAGGGGAAAAGAAAAGAAACAAAGAATGAAAGGAAATTTTAAAAAATGCATCTTTCTAAGAAAGTTTAGAATAACTTCTGAGACTGACACAATGCTTGCAGGAATGCAAAGTCAGAGGTCGTGTTATTGGTGGTATAATGGTAAGAATTAGCTAATATATATATAAAAAAAAAAAAAAAAAAAATCAAAAAAAAAAAAAAGTAAAATAAATACATCAATACTTTTTAAACAAAATAACATTTAAAACATCTTGTAAATGAAGAAAATAATACTATACCTATGACATCCAGTCTGGCACTGCGTGTTTCATTACCTCCATCAGAATGCACTTTACATGTATATACACCAACATCAGTGTTTCGAGCCTGACCTATCAACAGACTACCATCAGGAAGAATTTGAATTCTTCCATTATGAGAAGGCAATATTTCTTTGTTCCCAAAGAACCAATGGATTGTGTAAGGCACAGCTGGATCATGAGATACTTTACACTGCAATTCGGCTGTTGAACTTAAAATAACTCTCGTGTCGACAGGGGGCTGAACAATTTGGGTGCGAACTAAAAGAAAGAAAGAATATATTAGCATGACTAGTTTTTTAATAAAGAAGTTTCTGAAAGTTTTAAAGAACTGATTATACAGCCCTCCTACCAAACTATGTAAATTTTTACAACAGTTTCAAAAATCAGAAGCAAATTAAGTACAGTTTAAAAAAATTATAAGCAAAACTCAAAATTAATTCAACAATTCATTTCATCAGATTTTTACAATTTCATTACTTCCAGTTAATTGGGACACACCAATTGTAATTGTACAACAAAGTGGCGACTTATTTGTTTCATTTCATCTGTAGCTATGCAATCAGAACAATGCAAATAAGAAGGAAAAATAAACATCAATTTACTTTTCCCTTCAAGATTTTCTACTGCTTTTTCTTAAAAAAAAAAATGTGTTGATATTGATTACATGATTAATAGTACATGACTTTAAAGAATGAATTGATATGGATTGCATGATTGATGAATTGATATTGATTACAAATGATGAATAGTTACAATTAAATTATTCGAAAACAAAGGTGCTTTTTACTTTGAAAGACTATTCCATAAACACAAAATAGAACTGTATTTTATTATTAGCCCAGTCCTGAAATGGCACTGCAATTAAGAATAATCATCATGAAAGATATATAAAGTAGAAGCTGGTTCAAAGCTTTGGATATTGTGTTTCTGAAAATAACTTGATGGTGCAAAAAAAAACTCATGCTAGTAGAATTCTCTCAACTACAATAATGTTGTTTTTCTGAAAATTACTTGAAAGCTAGTGCAAAAAACTCATGCTGATAGAATTTTCTCAACTGCAATTATGAATAAACACTGCACAACTGTCATCTAGAATAATTATGCACTCTTATTTATCAGGGTTCGTACACATTTCTGGACATGGAAATTAAGTACTTTTGAGGACCATTAATGAAAAACATTAAGGACCTATCAGCAAATGAGAGCTGAATACATTCAATTAAATTTTAATCAACTTAGATCTGAGCTCCATTCCTGTAATAACCCTCTAAGAATAAAATAGATCCATAAGTATGATGCATTCTTATTAAACATAATTTAATAAACATAACTATAAAACAAATTTGAGAATAAAATCCTCTTCATTTATCAGGTAGCATAAAATATTTTACACGTATCATAGTTGGACATAGTTTGAAGATAGTTTGAAATAAGTACTAGTTTAAAAGAAGATTAGGGGCATTTTATTTACTTTTACTAACAATCAGCTTTATGCTGATTATTTTCTTTTATGTCTCATTTTGCCATGTACTTAATCTAGAGGTTTAGTAAATAGCAGGTAGATTTTATGTCAAATGGCCTAGAAATAAAATCATCACGATTTTAATAGAAGATAGGCTGTTGCCAGTGCTGCTGCTTGCCTGGAGAGAGATCTGTTGTTCAGAACAAACCTGAAAGGCCTGATGTAGTTTTGAGGTTGGCAAGTTTTCAAAGTTAGTTGTGCTCCATCTGTCTGATGCAGTTAGTGTTATATCTTCATGTAGAGTTCCTGGCATTGTCATCTAGTTAATATATTTAAGGTTCTAATAAGCCACTAATGCACCAGAGGTAATAAGTTGTTTTGCATTATTTCAAGTCTTACTTGATGCAAAGAATAAGTTTTACATTAATTTTTACATATTTGTGCTGTATCTTGTGACCACAGTAAGGATTAATGAAAGGCAATAACTTGCTTTAATAAGCAGAGATAACTTTTAAAGGTGAGCAGTTAGTTACAAATAATTAAATTAGGTAGAATGCATGTAATTTTAAATTGTCAGTTTTAAATCAATGTCATAACACTGATTCTTAAACGGTACTAGGGTAACTCCACATTAAAAGCTACGAAACATGTTTTGTAGCAACAACACATAACAAAATATTTAGGCATCATTTAATTTGAAGCCTTCCCAGACATTTTGGCTTAATTCATATCAATTTTCTTCTCTAAAAATCTGTTTCAATACACAAACCAATGTTCCCATTAGTTTCTGTGTGCTTTATCTCCTAATTTGCCAGTCTCTTAGCAGTGCAGGTAATGAGGTTTTACTTGTAAAAGTTAGTCTGGTAAAAATAGTCACAAACCTCTTACAGTCATGAAGAAAATTATCGCTATGTCTGAAAGTAATTACAAAGTCACATAAAGGTTTTATTTAAAAAGAACTTGGAACATACAGGCAGGTTCCTATGTTGACAAAATCAACTACAGCTTGTGATGATGCAATTAAACAGGAACAGTCAAATTCAAACTAAAAATGTGGACTAGTAGTCAGAGTACACAATTTAATTTTAATCTAAGCTGACTCAGTAACTCTATCATCGTAACAAATTCAAATGTTAGTGGCAATTATGCAAAGATGAATAATTGCAAGTTATCAGAACTGGCAGAAACTAATGCAAAATCCAAGTGGAGGTCAAAAACAATCTGTCTTTCAGTCCCAAAACCTTAGTTTAAAAACCATCTGATTTGTATTATGGTGAGGAAATGGAAAGGGGATCTTAAAGGCTACAATTATAAACAACTGGTTAATTTGCAAAATAATAACTGCACATATCATCGAAGAATAATTTTCTTCCTCTTTATGCATTCAGTTTCCTTCAATTCATTTCCTCTTCACTTTAGAGTTTTTGGAATTAATTAAAGATTTCTGTCATTCTAAAAAACCAAATGCATTTAGAATGTAAAGAAAAAGCTGATAAATATGAAATGATGTATAGAAAGGGCTGGTTTCAGGGCCAACGAGGCAGAACTTTTAGAATTTAGTGACACACCGAGCAACAAAATCTAGAAATGGCAAAACTTTTAGAATTTAGGACAGGCAGTGGGAACAGAATTTAGATTCCACTGAGATTGCATCAAGTGGGAAAATGCCTTGTGTCAGCCCTGTGTATGATCCAGACACAAATAAGATGAATCTTTTAAATTTTCAGTTTTCAATTTCTTTATTAATAGAAAAAATTCTTTTTTATAAATGCCTGTCCATGTGGAAAGATTAGAAACATTTTTGATATTTTCCACATTTGTGTCTAGTGAAAAGCTGACTAAAATAAAGGGAAGGTAAACATGTTAAGAAAAAGACTTCTAGTATCAGAAGTACAACAAACATTATGTTTTCACTGCCCTTCCAAAAAATTCCCCAAAATGTAAGAAATTAATCACAAACTTTCTGTAAAATACATTCATTATGCGTTAATACAATGAAGACATTTTCATTTTGTCAATTTTTTCTGGAGCCTTCTAGAATTGTGCGTCTGTAAATCTTGCCTTCAAATCCTACTAAATTTTTCAAGTTGCAATGTGTAAAATCCTAAAGAAAAATTAGTCCTACCAGTTTTACAAGAGAAAAAAAAGGGCTAGAAATATTTTGGAAAAAAAAAAAAAAAAAAAAAACAGTGGAAAAAAGTGTAAAATTAATTTTATAGAGAAAACTGATACATATTCTGACAATTCTGAATATTCTGAAACAAAGTTGGAATTAATGGGAATACTATGTGAGAATTACATGGGGAAAATTCTTACCGAAAAAAAATTTAAAGGAAGAAATTTTTAATTAATTATGTAGCTATTTCACTTTTGCTATGAATTGTTTTGTAAACTGTGCTTTATAGCATTTATTACCTTGTTTGTTTTTCAGATTCAAAACATTATATAATAAGTCGCCAAAATGGAAAGTAATGCCAGTTTATAATATAACAGCAAAAGAAAATAAAAAATGTTTTATTTTAATGCTATTCCTTAAATATAATTTAAATATATTACCATTATTTTAGTTAAGTTTATCAATGTTATAATGTTTCAAAAAAAAAATGTCGAAAAATCTCCAGATCTCCAAATTAAAAATTTTCTATAGAAATTAATCTTAAAATCGCCAAAATGTTAATAAGTTGCCAAATTTAGAGCCGTTGAATAAAAGAATTCAGATCTTCAAAAGCAGAAAGTTGTTTAAATGCAATTCATTAGAAAACAATGAAATAATTTTGAAATGCTTATGTTTGACTCCTAGTTCAGAAACTCCAGTATCCCAAACTTTACATTAGAAATAGGAACAAATTATAACCCATGAACCTATTCAAAAGATAATCATATTTGTCAGTGAATTGTCAAAAATATTCCTCCAAAATGATAATTCACACTCAAAACAGCAGTTGTAAAAACAAGACAGAAATTTCAGATGATTAAAATTAAGGACCTTCTGCCAATTTTGGCCGAAATTAAGGACCAAAAATCGATTCCAAAAAAAAACCTAAGGACTTTTAAGGACCGTATGAATCATGTTTATGAAACTCTGTATCTGAATTCATTTTTTGTATTTCTTTCAAATTTAATATAATAACCACTCTTTCCAAGAACTTGTATATATTTTTAGGGTTGATATTCCATCTCCAGTCAGATTTAATATTCCCATCTCCACTCAGATTTTGCATCAACATTTACATATGGTGTCAATCCCATTATACTAAAAAGTATTCAATTTAACCTGTAGAAATATTGCAGCATAATTTTCTTGTTAGCATTGTGTCTGATGAAATCAAAGTTGCAGCAATTAAAACAAGAGTTTTAAATTTATGTTTCCCCTTTTAAAATTATAAGTGTGACCTTTTTTACAAAACAAGGTTAATATTTAGATGACTTTAGCATTTGCTTTACTAAATAGAAATTAATTATTTAAACTGCATATAGATTCTACAGCTACTTGCACAATGAAATAATTACATGAAGATTGCAAAATTATAAAAAAAATTATGCATTGTAACTTCCATGAACAAAATAATTTTTATCAAAAGCACATCCTCACAAATACACATGAAAAAAATCATTACTACTTTGAAAATGAAATTTTTATATACTATCAAACATTTTTAGTTTTTATTGTTCAGAAAAATTCAGTGCCTCATATCAATCATAAAATAACTCGTATATAAATTCCAATCAAATCTTGAAGTACATAATTAATTAAAATACAAAAATGATAATGACAACAAAAGAAAAATAAATCAAACTCAGTGCTGATTGATAGGCTCTTAAGTTAAAATGCAAAGTAACAAACATTAATAAATTTTGTTGAAAGAAGAAACAAATAACACAAATTTTAGCATTTCAAAAAGAAAGAAGTAGAAACAGAAATTGGAGAACAGACAGAAATTTTCAAAACAGAAGTCAATTTCCCAATTCATAATTAGGAAAAGAAGTACAGTCAAAAGTCGTTAATTCGGACACCCATAATCCGGAATGATCTATAATTTGGACCTCAAAGCTACAAACTTTTTGCGCATGCGTCGGTACCGCTGCGAATTTGCGTGTGCGCGTGCGCAAAATACGTTTACGAATGCGCGTTTAATGTATAACGGACGGGATTATCTATTTCAGTTAATGTTGCAGATTGCGTTGTTCCTTAATCTTCGAATTGGATTCGGATTATCATTTTTTGCAGACTGTGAGAGCAATTTTATAAAAGTAAGCTTGAACTTTCGATTATGTCAAATAGAATTTCCGATATATATTTACCAATATGTAAAGGATATACAAAGCGAAAGTATCTTTCGGAGTCCATTAAACAAAAAGTGGAATTGCTGCAAAAAATGGATAAAGGCATATCCTTTGTTTATCTAAACTTTAACGTTTGTTTATCTAAACCTTGTTTATCTTTAACGCTGCTGCGAGCAATGAACTGGAAGTTGATCTGTCAGCACTATCCTTATTATAAGGGCAGATGTTTTTATTTTATTTGGCTTATAATTGCTTACTCAATGTAGTATTTCATCTCGATGTACTCCATCTTTGATACGTTTACGAATGCGCGTTTAATGTATAACGGACGGGATTATCTATTTCAGTTAATGTTGCAGATTGCGTTGTTCCTTAATCTTCGAATTGGATTCGGATTATCATTTTTTGCAGACTGTGAGAGCAATTTTATAAAAGTAAGCTTGAACTTTCGATTATGTCAAATAGAATTTCCGATATATATTTACCAATATGTAAAGGATATACAAAGCGAAAGTATCTTTCGGAGTCCATTAAACAAAAAGTGGAATTGCTGCAAAAAATGGATAAAGGCATATCCTTTGTTTATCTAAACTTTAACGTTTGTTTATCTAAACCTTGTTTATCTTTAACGCTGCTGCGAGCAATGAACTGGAAGTTGATCTGTCAGCACTATCCTTATTATAAGGGCAGATGTTTTTATTTTATTTGGCTTATAATTGCTTACTCAATGTAGTATTTCATCTCGATGTACTCCATCTTTGATATGATTTAAATCAAATGCCTCGTCATTATAATTCGCTTCCGATAGGGAAGAAAGTGAGAGGTTATTGAAAATGAAAAAATTTCGATTGACAAATTAGTCGGTATTCTCGACACAGCAATTATAGGACTTGAACAGGGGAACTTTGTAACTGAACAAGAAATTATGTATGTTTATAGAATTAAAGAGAATGTATTATCACATAAAAAATGAAGCAACTTAAACAACTTACATTGAAAGAAATGTTTAATAAAGTAAACAAATAAATATTAAGCTTTTTTTTTTTTGTAAATTTTGATACCCTTTAGATCATAATTGTTCTTTATTTTGTAAATTATGGTTTCATATTTTTAATTTTATAATTTCTGCATGCCATTTTACCAGATTTAAACTGATGATCTATAATCCGGAAAAATCGATAATCCTCGGGATTAACGACTTTTGACTGTACAAATTGTAGTTCATACGCATAACAGGTATGTAGGTGTGTAATTACATATTTTTATCTCTGTTTTTAAACTACTTGATTTAACAAAATATTTAGAATTAAGTAAATGCGAAGGGAATTATTCAACCTTATTAAATGATAATGAATAATGGTCCTAAAATGAAAAAGAGCTGTTGGCTTTCTATTATTAATAATTATACTGCTGTAGGCAAAAAACATGCACGTTCATTATGATAAATCTGCAGAATGGTTAAATCTAGAAAACAAAAAAACAGCTTGTTCCATGGTTTAACATTACTCAATATTTCCCTTAAATAGTAAATCATAAAACTGATAAATATGAAGATGGAGATTTTTATTATTGTTTCATGTACATTTTCAAGAGACCAACGAAGCAGTAGTATTTGAATAACATACCTAGAACACTTAAAAAAGCAAATCCTTGAACAGAGCCAGCACTATTTTCCCTAATGCAAGTATATTTGCCAACATCTTTAGATTCTGCTGATGCTATTAACAAACTGCCACTCTCTAAAATCTGAACACGGCCAGCACTTTGAATTTCGGATGAATCTGAAAGTCATTTAAAGAGAAGAATATAAAATTTGTGTTATGCAAATATTACTTTTTTATAAAAAATGTAAAAATAAATATTGGTCGTATTTAACTTACCAATAATCCATAAATTTAAAATATATATAATATAGAAATTGACTTTAAATTGACCTTACCGTCTAAAAAATTTAGACCGGAAGATAATTGAGAAAATAAAATGAAAAAGTCAAAAAAAAAAAAAAAAAACTGAAAAACCTGAATTATAATTCAGAATGTGTATATTAAAGGTATAAAATTAGAGTAAAAAAAAAAAAACTTAAATTTGCATTGATTCAAATATTATCAACTTCAAAGACAAAATAAAACAGCTTCTTTTCCTTCAAAAGGAGGGGGCAAACCCCCTTTTATTTCTGCTGAAGAGGAACCTATGCCAACCACTGCTAAAATCAATGATTTTACATAAAATCACTACCAAGATAGGTGTTTTTCTGCCTAATTTTACATTTGATATTGGTGTTTTTTTTTTTTTTTTTTTTTTTTTCCCTATACATACATGAAGCAAATTAAATTACTGCATGAAGAGTATAAAACTGATATGTATAGTTTCTTTCATTTATAAACTCGTGTAATTACTAGAAGAGGAATTTTTAGGTTAATAAATGAATTTATGAATTAAATACCTAAATTTGCACTTAAATAATTAAAAATAAATGCTAAGAATGACCTTCAAGAACACTTTTCATGCATTACATTAAATTAATAAAATGGATTTTATCAATATAATTTTAAAAATTTTCTGAATGTTGATAACAACAGCATTTTTATTCCCTATATTCAACACAGACACTGAAAAAATGAAAATAACAGTTTCTTCAAGATGTCGCACAATTATCATCAGAACATATAGTTCAATGACAATGAAACAAAAATCTTGATACAGTGTCATTCCAAACATAACATACTTTCAATTCAAATATGACAAATGAGGAGTTTTAAAAAACCTAATACATTATTAGTTATACACATCTTTTATTTACGCAAAATCCAGTTCCTTGGAGAAAAGGAAAATTAAAAAAATAAATAAATAAAAATTATCTATAATGCTAAAGAACATAATGCTACATATTAATAAACATGATATAAAAATAAGCATAGCGGATATGTAAAAATTCAGAAGGTATTGCAATAGTTAAGAATATAATACTAGTTACACATGCAAAATGACAGTAAACATTTATTCCACATACATTAACTTTTGAATCCTTTTATAAATATATGCCTACCATTAAAAATCCAAGTCACATTAGGAGCAGGAGCACCTGAAACTTCACACATTATTTGTGCATCTTTTCCATCGAGAACAGTAACATTAATAGGGCGTTTAATAAAATCAGGAGCAGATGCTAAAGAAATGAGAGTAAATTTTGAAACATATAAATCTATAGGGAATAAATTATGGTTTTGTATTAATATATATTTCAAAACAAAGGCACAAAAGCATAAATCATTGAATTAATTAAGAATATTGTGTAGTAAAAATCACTGATTTGAGTATATGCAGAAAATGAAATTAAGAAAGACCAAATAAATGAATTCTTAAAAAAAAAATTAAAGCAATCATTTAATAATTATAAAAAAAATATTACTGTATCATCCTTCACTCATACATTAAATCTTCACTTATTTTACTACATTAGATTTTTATTTAATATGGCAACTGTAAGTAATACACTCATGTAAATAAATTAAGGATAATTCAGAGTCACGCGGAAATCAAACTCTAAAATAAATATATCGCCTGTAAAATCACTACACACATCTTCAAGAATTATATGCAAATTTCAGAAAGTAACCAGATGACACCGATGGTACTTCACGATGACAAGAGTGTAAGAGAGTGATATATAAAGAATACAGGCAAAGAAGTACAATTGTTCGCAGGCGCTTTATGAACATTTCAGTGCAATAACCGAATAGTTATGACACAAAGGACGCATTTGGATGATTTTTTATGTGGTAGAATTATCGGCGGTCGGGAATGTGGGTGTACCCAACTGGAAGTATCAGACGAACTTGGAATTGCCCAAAGTGTCATCTACAGGCTTTGTCAATGATTCCAAGATGATGGTAATGCGAGTAGAAGTTACAGCACAGGTCTTCCCAGAGTTACAGCGCAGAATGAGGACCGGTATTTGGCAGTTACTACCAAAAGAAACAGGCGGAGCACAGCCTCAGACCTGTCTCATCAGCTCTCTTCAGCCACTGGTACGACAATTTCAAGGCAGACCGTGTACAGACGCTTCGGGCAGATTGGTCTATATGCTCGCAGACCTGTCAGAGGCGTTCCGCTTACTGCAACTCACTGTCGCCTGCGGTTAGCCTGGAGTAGAGAGCATGCATTGTGGACACCGCAACAGTGGACTTGTGTGATGTTTTCCGACGAGCCCAGGTTTAGCTTGCTGTCTGATTCTCGCCGGACTTTCATATGGAGACCTCCAGGTACCCGTTACCACCAAGAAAACATCATTGAACGACATCGTTACGGTGGTGCAGGAGTGCTCGTTTGGGGAGGAATTACTCTGGGTTCCAGAACTGACCTGCATGTTCAAATTGGAACCATGACAAGCCAAATCTATTGGGACGTCATTCTGGAACAACATGTATGTTTGTTTTGGGGTGCCATGGGCGCACAATTTGTGTTTATGGATGACAACACCCGTCCTCACCGTGACATTGTAAGCGAATGCCTTTATTCGGAGGATATCACCATATGGACTGGCCAGCATTCTCACCGGACTTGAATCCAGTAGAGCACGTGTGGGACATGCTTGGCCGACGAGTTGCAGCCCATCAACCTCCTCTACATGTCTACCGGAACTTCGGAGAGCATTGCTTTTTGAGTGGTGTAATATCCTCCAAGATTAAATTGATAAATTTGATACCCAGAATGCCTAGGCATTGTACGGACTGTATTGCATCATCTACATACAATGTATTAACACTCATACCAACCATGTAATATTGGTTTTTTGTAAATAGGTTTTTTTTTGTAATTTGCTCCAGGGAGGGGGAAAAAAATCGCTTTTTTTTTTTTTTTTTAAATATCAAACATATAGCATCTTTGTTTGCTCTTTACATTTTGTTTAATAAATAAGCTTTACAAATAAGTCAAATTTGTTTTGCTTCTAACTCTTCCTTTGCCTGATTTTGCATTATCCTTAATTTATGGACATTAGTGTATTTTACATTTTTAAGGAGGGGAACAGCAGTCTATACTTGCTTCTTTTCAAATTTTGATGCTAATTATGCATAATATACATTTTAGAAATTCTCTTAAAAAGTCCCTCACAGATATGTGAAATACACATATTGATTTTAAATACAGAAAATATCTATTTATTTCAAACAAAATTACTTTTACTTTTAACTATATACAAACATTATTCAAAATCTACAAATGTCCAAATCCCATACAAGATCAAGATATTTAAGGTCTTGAATAGCCAATATATTTTAAACAATAAAGCAATCTTCAAATATTTATTAATATACTTTTGCATAAAATAAATTTTATCTTATTAGTAAAGTAATAAAATTAAAGAATGCACATGTACTTACTTTTAACATGAAGCCAAGTACTAGCAGAAACTTCCCCACCAATGTTTGAAGCAACACATTGATATATACCAGTATCAGCACCAGATAACAAAGAGATCTGTAAAGTTCCATTTGCAAGAACTTCAAAACGCTCCCCTACGTTGTTCTTAATCATATTAGCATTGCGATACCAAGTAACATCAGGATCCGGACTGCCATTTGCAGTACAGGGTAAGTGAACAGTCTTCCCAATTTCAGATACTGTTTCCCTGAATGGTCCATTAGTGATAATAGGTTCCACTGAAAAAGAAGAAAAAACAAAATGAATTATTTTCTTCCTCTTAGAAATTGCTCTTCAAAGTGATTTTAATAGATAACATTTAAGTATGTAAATGGGACATCCAGAAAGTTTATCTCATGTCTACATATCACAGGTCATGCTGCTGCAGAAGGATAATGCACTTGCATGAGAGATTCACTCAAATTACGTGTAGCAAGTAGCCAATTATGTGCAGCAAATAAATTCGTAATCTGCCAATTATACACAGCAAGTAGCATTCTTAGATACAGCAATGTAATTAACTGTTGTATCTGTTGAAATAAATATATTTATGAGATAATATTCACTCTCTATAGACAGCTCCAGGAAAATTTATTTTCAGGAGGCCCTCTTGTACAAGATTCTCTTTCAATTATTATGCAACATTTTTATTTTTCAGCAGAAAATATTTCAGATCTGCACAATCTATTAACATGATAACATTTATGCATCATCAATTAAGACAGCTTTCAGTATTTCCAATAATAAATTGAAGAAGTTATGATTTCTGCTTTTAAAACCAAGTAAGAAGCTAATAGTTCCCAAGTTCAACAAACCTACCTATTTAATGTGGTAACAAGTGTGATTTCTATTAACATGTATATCTGACAAATCAAAACATGATCATACTGTTTATTATGCTGCTACTTCTTCAATAATTTTGCCTTCAAAATAAAAAAAAAAAACTACAGAGTTTCTGCAAGTGGTACTAGGATGACACAGAATGATCCAAAATGGCTCAAATAAGTTTTTTTAACTATTAATCTATTCTTCACTCAAATCAGCTCATAAATTCTCAGTGTAATCTTCTACCTACATACCGTGATGCTATAACGGAAGTGGCTTTCCTCAAAGTAGACAAATAACACATATATTTGTTTACAATTTCATTATTTTACATTTTAATTTAAAAGAACCTTCACTGCAATATAAACATAGCAAAACTTACCAATGACTGTTACATTCGCAGTTGCAGTAATTGTAGCAGATTCCATCCCATGCATGTTGACTTCACATTCATACATACCGGCATGCATTAAACCTACATTTATTAGAGTGATGGTACGATTCCAAGGTGATAACAGATGAGATAAACCAGTGAGACCCAAATCTTTACCATCTTTCTTCCAAATTATTTGCACAGAATCTAAAGGTCTGAAAGACAAAGACATCAAAATATTCAATATCTACAAGTAATATAACTTTTACTCATATTAACTTACATTTATACTAACTTATAATTGAGTTAATTTGAAAAACCTACAAAATATATATTTTTATGGAAATATAAAATTGAAATAGTAAATGAGAGTTGGATGGTTGATTAATTACAGAAAATCATGCAAGGGCTATATGCCAGCACTGAAATACTTTTCTGAAGAAGATATGCTAATTATACATTAATACTAAGGACTTGTAAACTTAATATTTGCAGCAACTAATTTGGTACTCACTAATGAATGGAAAAAACCACCTGAGAAAAACTGACGAATAACATGCTATGTTGCCAAAGTAGGCAATCCAGAATTTTATGAAAATGTTATTTGCCTGGAAATCCACAAATGACTGTACACTGCCAGCAGAGAACTCAGCTTTTGTAATTCGACAGTCCTTTGTGGCTGGTGCTTATCAGCTGTTCTTAAGTAATAAGAACTTTTTCTAAATTTATGCAGATTTTAAGTTAAAACAGGTTGATGTGTACATAGAAAAGAGCAGGGAAAAAAAAGGGGGTAAATGTTTTATTATAATATGTTTCTTGCATTTATTAACCTGCTGTTTTATGTAATTTTCAATGATTTTCTTATGTGGTTTTTTACACAATTTTCACTCGATGTTTCTTGTGCTTTTAACTTTGTTGATGCTTATGCAATTTCCCACCAACCACCACTTTTTAAATAACTACTGTTTTTCATCTGAAGTTTGCAAAAAAATTAGTCGCAAATTCTGCAACATCAGGGTGGATGATCAGAGAATACCATTAATTCTTAAGACACAATAACACGCCGAATAAATACTAATTTAGAAGACAAACAACAAAAATCAGCGTTATATTTACAAAATTTCCACAGTTGAAGTGTGAAAAATCAGCGTTATAACTGTGGAAATTTTGTAAATATAACACTGATTTTTGTTGTTTATCTTCTGAATTAGTACCATTAATTCTGTTCAGCAAAATAAATTTCCTACCTAGAAATGAATTATAAAAATTTGTTTCAGTCAGGCATAAATTTATCATTATTGCAAATTTTAGAATGAAACAGATTGAAACAAAGCAGGTGCCTCTGTATAAATCTGAATGGAATTTGATCATCAGAAAATATCACTGAGCAAAAATTCTCACCTTGCATTAACAATACATTCTAAAACAGCAGGATATACAGCTTGCTTGAAAACAGAATCTTTAGGGGGAATAATTATTTCAGCTGGAACAAAATCACGTTTTTCTCCTACAAAACAAAATTAAAACAAACATTTCACTAAGTATAAGAAACATATATGAAATGATTTGAAAAATAAACACTATAATTACAGAAATAGCAATTATTTCAATCTTAGGATTATGAAGAGAAATCAAAATTATTCAAACTCTTTTCTAAAGTACACAAAAGTCTAGCACACAAAACATAAGATAATCCTATATTTTGATTCAAAAGTCAAAGTAGTTTTGATTCAAAAGTCAAAGTAGTTTTGATTCAAAAGTCAAAGTAATGAGTTTTGATTCAAAAGTATTTTCAATGTGTCAAAAGATAAATAATATATGGTCTCTGAAATTGTTCTAAAAGCTTTTTAATTTTTTAACAATATTTTTTACCTCTATAAATTAACTTGATTGAAATTAAAATTCTTCTTACTAATTACATTTTCATTACTTCTTGCCAAATTTTCCTTTTTAAGTTAAGAGTGCATTATCATTTTTACAAAACTTATATGCATAAAACTTATTTTTAAAAAGACAATTCTTTATGCTTGAAGCTTTAAGACACCTGGCAAATCATATTAATGCCTTAAACAAGCCGGAACAAAGCCTTAAAATATCATTTCATATATATAATCACATATGTGATTACATATATTAAACACCTATGATTACATGACCATATATGTCATTTCAGAAATGTAAGCCATATATGTCCATATATGTCATTTCTTATTCAAAATCACAAAATTTTCTGTGATTTTAAATAAGATCTTATTCAAAATCACAAAAAATTTTGTCTATTTGAAAGAAGTCATGCAGGGAAAAAAAAGGTGGTAAACATAATTCTTTATTTTATGAAAACTTACAATGAATTATATTCACATAATGGATAACTGATTTTTTATTTAAAACTACAAAATTAATATTTTTTTTATACTAGGCTATGTTAAAATTCAAATCAAATAATTTTGTCAAATGCAGCTTTTTTCAGCAATAATTCAGTTAATATGTGTAAATATTGTTGAATATTAGCATTTTAATTCAGAAATGTCATTTTTTTAATGAAACATGTTAAATACAATGAAATAATTATTCCTTCAATTCATCGTTGCTTTAATACTTTCTAAAGTGCCCATAAAAAAATTAAAACAAGAAACTAAGTTACTCACTCCCACGACGTCTGTCTGAATCGAGGTTTTCTAACAGACTGTAATTCTTTGGAAGTTAAAATTTATTTGGATTTTGGAGTTCCATTTTACATGATTATTCATCAAGAGTATCAAGAGTTTTCATTTACATCAGCAAGTCTTAACATGTGGTAAACATTCCTTTTGGGATACTTGACAAAAGTCTGAAGGAACATCATGAGAAATGAAGAAAAGTTTCAGATTTAACTACAAAATTGGCTATGTTGACAACGTTGATACCGTTGACAACGTTCACGGGCTATTCAGAAAGCAAATTACATTTCACTGTTGCGGCGTGAGAGACATCCTCATCTTGGTGTCGGAGTTTCTACGAATCCTTACGCATTAGGCTGTAATTGTTGCTGGTAAATATTGCCTCTGCTTTTTTCACTATGAATGTTTAAAATATGTGCAACAATAGAAAATCTTACCAGTTGTGATGTGCAATCGGCGATTAAATTTGTGTTCATAAAATAACTGAGAAGAGTTGAAGTTTACGGGGAACTTTTGTACGGTGTATGGAAATGATGTAATGAGTGAAGCCAGAGTGAGACAAAGGTGAATCATGCTTGAAAATGGCCACATTAAATGTTCATGAGGAAGCGTGATGTGCCGGCCGAGCATTGTTAATGCTGAACTGGTACAGAAAATTGACAAAAATATTAGCAAAAACCGCTAGTTCAAAATTTCGGAGCTCTCGCTAGAGTTTCTTCAAATTTCATGAACTTTATTGTTTGATGTTGTGAAGCAAGATCTAGGCTATCACAAGTTTTGGGCCAGATGGGTACAGAAACTCTTGTCAGATGACCACAAAAAGCTGCACATGGCAGCAGCTTTGATATTTCTTGAGGCATACCACAAACATGGTGAATCACTTCTTGATCGTGTCGTAACAGAAGACGAGACTTAGGTAATGTTCGTTACTTGCGAGACAAAACAATAGACTATGGAGTGGGAGTCAGACAAGTTCTCCCAGAAAACTAAGGAAATCTTTGCAAACATTGTCACCAAGAAAGATCATGGCAACTGTTTTCTGGGACAGTGAAGGTGTGCTTCTGGTGGATTACCTCGAATGTGGTGAAACAAGAAATAGTGACAGATATTGTGAAACATTAAAGAAATTAAGAAGAGTGATACAAAACAATCGTCAAGGAAAGTTGAGTTCCAAGGTTTTTTTTTTTCATTCATGACAATGCACACCCCCACACAGCCATTCAAACTCAACGGCTCTTGGATGGTTTTGGATGCGAGTTATTTGGATATCTACCGTACAGTGCGGACCTTGCTCCTAACGATTTCCATTTGTTTCCACACATGAAGACCTGGCTTGCAACACAGCGCTTCGACGATAACGAGGAACTGTATTGTTGAAGTCTTGGGCGACAAAATTCTACAACGATGGAATTAACAAACTCGTTATGAGGAGATTATGTGGAAAAATAGCTGAATAGATTGCCTTTCAAATTTGAGTAATAAAAAAAAAAAATTTACTTTTTTATTTTATTATATATATATATTTAAAATTAAAATATATATATATTAATTTTAAAATGTGAGTTACTTTCTGAACAGCCTACATAATTTCCAAGAACTAAATGATGAACAGCAGTTCTTCAGTTCATTTCAATAAATATTAGTCAAGCCTTTCTGCTCTCAGCACTTTAAAACCAAGTCCTCCTTAACCCAAAATGTCTGCTTATAATTTTATAAAGCAATTTATGCCATATTATGTGTTTACTGATCTATATAAATCATCAATGTAAAATATATGTTACTTCATCCCCACTGTTATAGTTTTTCACTAAACTGTTTACTTTGCCACATTTCACAAAATAAATTCCTAAAAAAAAAGAATAATTAATTAGCAGTTGCAACAGTTACAAACCCTTAAAAAATAGCAACATGTAAATATATTATACCTATCACTTTAAGCTCAACTATGCCACCTAAAGCTTCTTGGCCAGCTTGAGGATTTGTCAATGAAGCTTGATATTGTCCTTCATCAGATATACTAGCTGCAAGCAAAACTAAATCATTCTCAAGACTTGTAGCGTAGTTAATACCATGCAAACGACCAAATCCAATCTTCTGCCATGATACAGATACAGGAGGAATGCTTTCAACTACTGGAGGCTTTAAAATAGCAGCATTACCATCTTTAACAGTTATACTGATGTTTTCAACTGACAGTAGATCACCCATATCTGAAAATGTTTTGAAATAAAAAATACTGCATAATTAACAATGAACAATTTTAAAATTTTCAGAATAAGTTAATGTTTAGCTAACATGTTTAGGACATCATAGGATAACACAGAGATAAAAATTTTCTAACTAAGAAATATGAAATCTTTTCTATTATAGGACTATTATATAACATATGGCAAACAATTTTCTGCACTAAAGTACATACAGCAAAGTTGCCTATTGGCCACAGTTAAATTAAATATGTTGTTCTCACCTCTCATAAATATACCTATTTTCAATGCAAGTATCATCAATAAAAAGTTTTTAACATTCATCTTCGTATTTTGTTTGTTTTATTCAAACTTTCTTCAGATAGTGCCTTTCATACATTTTAGTTATTGGTTTAATGGTAGTAAAATGGCTAATGAAAGCACAGCAAATTTCACTCTCTAAGGGGAAACTGAAAACTATGATATATAATTTTTTTTTAAAGATGGGTACAAGCTTAGGGGATTCAATACTAAGTATCTTCAATAAAAAGACAATTTTTTTAAAAAAAAGTGAAATCAAATACTGAAATTACAGAATTTCACAAGTACAAAGTAAAAAATATTGATAAAGTTTTCAGAGGAGGAATTCTTGTTGAATGAATCATTATTTTCTGATAGTTGACTGAAGGTTCTTCATAGAATATTCTGTATTTTCTTATTATCCACATCCCTGGTGAAAAGTCACAAAAAATCATTCATGAGCAAAGTAGTATATCCCCTATACAATTCTATGGTAACCCATGATGTTGTAAAAAAGTATTTATGTAGCAACTCAGAAATGCACATAGGGCATATCTGTTTCAACCAGTGTAGAAATACTACAGAGATTACTTTCTGCAAATCACTGACGTTTTTAAAATAAAAAGAGATTGATATGTAAATGAGAAGAAAATAATGCAAAAAGATTTTATTACTTAAGTATTTTTCTTTTTAATTTTACTTATCAATTGGTCTTGTATGGAGTTCTTAGTGCACCACTATTTTGAAAATGCTTGTTGCTTTTTGCACATTAGGTTTTCAAAAAATTATTCAGCAACAAGTTCACTACTTTTCAGAAGGGTGCAGATAATCAGAATGTACTGATTATTCTTCACACAACTCTATGTAAACAAAATAGAAAATTGAGTGAAATTTATTTCATTCTAAAAATGCTACTAAGTGAGTAATTTAGGATTTTTAGATTGTAAAAATTTGCTGTGTCTTGCTTCTATTGATGCAATGAATTTAAACAATTTCACAGAATCAGATCCACATTAAACAATATGTAACATCATGTAGATGTTAAATGTCAAACATTCTCATATTATGTTTTAGCGATAAGAGAAAATATAAAAGCTTCATAAAATGGAGCAGGATAACTTATCAATCAAAAAACTAACTTTAAGAAAACCTACAATAACTGACACATATTTTATTTTAGCAGAAGAGTTTTCATCTAAACTACAATCTGCCTAGAATTTTTCTAACCAGTTTGCCTGACCCATCCACAAATAAATCATTTCAGATTATATTTTCAATCCCTAGATGGCATCATTTGCTTTTTTGTTTTTGTTATTTCTTTCATTATAGAGAATGCAATGGTTATCTACTAGCCATGTTCTAGAAAAATCATAAAATTATTCATCTTCTCCTTCTGTTTGTGGTATTTAACTTTCATTTAATTACAGTTGTGAAAGGCAATACTGCTTGAATCACTAAAGTGCTTTAGCTAAAATAAAATCTATGCCAATTATTGTTATTATTTAGTTAACAGTCAGTTTTACTTCACATGTTATTCTTTCTCATACAAAACTCATTTGGACTGTTATCTTTTCTGCTAAACAAGAGTACATATGAGAGATTTTTTAATGTATTAGGAGTGCTGATGAAAGAAAAGATTTTTATGAGAATGGGACACATTTGGCTCAATGGTCTTAACTTAAAGAACCTCCATGAAATACTCTGAAGCCACTTCTTAATTCAAAGCAGAAAAAGCTAATGGTATCAGTTACTCGTTCTTGCTATGAAGTTATAATTAACAGTACCAGTAAATGATCAGCAGACATGATATACTGCCATTCACAATGATGAGAGAATTCTTATCTCACTGAAATCGAAAGCCATGGAATAGAAAATCATCTTAGACAGAAACTGTAAACTAACCTCCTTACATTCACCACTTTTCATCAATGAATTACATTTCTCACCATCCAGACTTTTTTGTTGGAGACATACTTTAACAATGAGTTATTTATCTCTTGGACAGTTAAAAGATTTTCTCATCTCAAATGAGAGTGAATTGTTCAAGTATGGCATATACTGGCAAAGGGTTCAGCAGATGCTACAATTATTTTAATCAAATAAATTGAATGTGTTCCTCCCACTACTAGTTTTTCAAGAAATATATGTTTAGTCATTTAATTTAAAAGAAATCAGAATTTTCAGAAACTGTTCATTTTAAATCCTCTATCTTTCTTTTCTGTATTTGATTATTTATACAAATAAAAATTATATTCGTACAAATTATTTTGTCCTTCACAGAACATAACTTATGGCATGCAAGTTAACTGCAATTTTGATGACAGAAAATTTTAAATCTGCCATCACTATCTCTAATATTTAAATCTTTTGAAAGAAAATATATTATGACTTTTTGTTAATTAAATCTTTAAAATAATTAGAAAATATTTAACTTATAGAGTAAATTGATAAATATTAAATGCAAAAGCTACACAGAAAACAAGGGTACTTATTCCGATGACTCCTTTCTATTCGATGACTATTATTCTATTTCCCGGTGACTTTAGATTATCCCGATGACTCTTTTCATACTTTGGGATTATCCTGTCAACCATTTTCACCAAACCCGATATTATCACCAAAAGGTAGCTTCTGCGCCAATAACTGCAAATAACCGTGTAATCCTTGACTACGCAAGTTTTCAGTTTTCTTTAGCGTGTTGAAATATACCGCTTTTTTCACTCCGCTGCAAAATTATTTAAATTTGAGATTTGCCTAGCAACAAAGAGAGTGCAGTGGCATATTTTCAAGAGTATAGAATGATTTCTTCTAAGAAAATGTGCATTAATGGTCATGATATGATGTGTATAACAAAACTGATAAGCAATGGTGATGCAATGTAAAGGGGTGTGATAAACAAGTAACTGTTCAAAAAGTCATGTGGTTGGAGGACTTAAAACACTCATTTCCAACTGAGCTCCAGTTTATTTACAGTTGAATTAACATCAACTGAATGGAGAGAAAAACAGCTACATTTAACAAGAAAGACAATTGTTGACTGGAAAGATTATATACGAGGAAAGTGTGCACTCATACAGTGCGATTCGAAATAAATAGGAAGTCCAAACAAAATCGTACAGATAGACGAGAGCCTTTTCACAAAGCACAAAAACCACATTGGTCATATTCTTCCAGAACAATGGATATTATGGAAACTCTGGAGAGAGGCCAAAGAGTATTTCATCGTAAAGGTTCCCCCCAATCGGAATGCAGTAACTCGATAAAATTAGGAACAACAATTTTCTCAGACTCGTGGAAAAGTTACAAAACTGATGAACTGGATGCAGCAGGATTCCAACACTATAAAATGAATCTTCAATACAATTTTGTGGATTCTGAAACTGGTACACATACACAAAATACAGAATGATTGTGGGTTTTAGCAAAATGAAGAAACAAGAAACACTGCAAAACTACCCAAAAACACTTGGGTTTGTATTTAAAAGAATTTACATGGTGTAGAGAGCACAAGGATCAGTCCAGGATTTACATATAAAGGATATAAGCTACACAAGCTATAGCTTAGGGCCTCCACATTCTTGGGGGGGGGCAAAAATTTTTTTTTTTAAAAAAAGGCACCATATTTCAAATAGCTTAAGGCCTCATCAAGTCTAAATCTGGCCCTGACAAGGATAATGACTTGTTTGTTTGCACATTGAAAGCTATCAAGGATTTTTTGCTGCCAAAATGATTTATAATAATACACATGGTTAGAATAATTCAATGAGTAATTATTAAAAATAATACAGGTTTTTACTTTTTTATTCATTTCATTACACCTTTTATTATGCAGTATTACACTTAATTTTTTTATTATTATTTTATCATTAGTTGATAAATTTAATGTGTTTAAAATGTTTATTCTGTGTGTTTATTATAATGTGTTTAAACTGCCTTTCATTATGATGGCGCCAAAGGATTTGCACATTTTCGCGAGCATCTACAGGTCTATGGGATAATCCCAAAGTATCAAAACAAGCTACACTAGAAAATGTAATACAGCATAGCTCAGCACAGAAATAAATATCATGAAAAAGATCATAAAAATCAAGCTTCATTATATTTTCAGCATTAAGTACACATCTACGGTTCAAATTTTCAAGAAATGAAAACTTATAATAAAATTTCAATATAATTAATATTTTTAATGTATTTTTGAGATCTTATAATTATTTCTGATTTCAAAAGTACTCAGTGATAAACATTCGATATGAACTACATATTTGTTATCACGATTACTTACAAGCTACAGTTAATGATGTTTTCTCACTAAATACTGTGCCAGCAGCATTGCGAGCTATACACCAGTACTGTCCACTATTTTCTTTTGTGATAAGTGGTATTCGCAGAAGAGGATCTTGAGAGAAATTTCCCAAGGGCTGCCCATTTCGATACCAAAGGAATTCAGGAGGAGGAGAACCTATTGCTTGGCACTGCAGAAACTTAGACTGACGTTCAGTCACTATTCCACCAGCAAATGATGGTTGGACAAGAAAATGTGGTGCAGAATGTTGATCTAAAAGAAAAAGATGATAATATTTTTCGAGAAGTCATTACATATATTATTACATTTACACATAACAACAATCTTATAGTAAAACAATCAAAATCATTAATATCCTAAAGCATAGTAGCCAACACTGAAATATGAAAAACGGGGAATCTACTGGTGATTTTTGTTATTTCGGTGATGTTATTTCAAAAGAAATCCAAACTGATGTAAATTCACTTCATGATGATGTGTAACTCAGGTTACTAAACTATTCATAATATGTTTCTGATGCAAAGCATATTAATATTTATTATCAAAAACTAAAATTAATATTTAATTAGATATACTAAATTTTATGTTCATTGGCTAGTTTCATTTTGCAAGTTCTTACACTTATATACAGGAAAAAATGAGTACAAACAGAAAGCTCTAATTCACCCAAATAATTCTAAGTATGATAAAAATTAATGCCCATAGCATTGTATGTAAAATTTAATAAACTCAGATCAAATAAAATTCAGTAAGATGCATTATACAGTCAAAAGTCTTTAATCCGGACTCGGCGGGACTTCGACGATTCCGGATTATCGATCATCAGTTTAAATCTGGTAAGATGGCATGCAGAAATTATAAAATTAAAAATTGAAACTGTAATTTATGAAATAAAGAGCAATTATGATCTAAAGGGTATCAGAATTTACAAAAAAAAAAAAAGCTTAATATTTATTTGTTTACTTTATTAAACATTTCTTTCAACGTGCGCATGCGTAAAATGCGTAAAGCATACATTACGCATAGTCGAAGATGTGTATTCGTGATATTTATAATGACGACTCATTTAATTTAAATCATATCAAAGACGGAGTACATCGAGATGAAATACTACATTTACTAAGGAATTATAAGCCGAATAAAATAAAAACATCTGCCCTGAAGATGAGGATAGTGCTGACAGATCAATTTACAGTTCATTGCGTGCCGCGACGTCCCCCACCCCCCGCAGAGCAGCGTGAAACTGATAAACAGATTTCGGAATGGTTAGAGAAACAAAGGACATGCCTTTATCCATTTTTTGCAGCAATTCCACTTTTTGTTTGATGGACATCGAAACATGTTTTTGCTTTGTAGATCATTTGGCAGCTCCAGAATTGGAAATTCTTTTTGACATAATCGAAAGTTCAAGCTTACTTTTATAAAACTTCTCTAACAGTCTGCAAAAAATAATAAGCCGGATCCAATTAGAAGATTAAGGAACAACACAATCTGCAACATTAACTGAAATAGATAATTTTAGCTTAGCTTATACCGTCCGTTATACATTAAACGCATATGCGCATTCGTAGATGCATAATGTGTCTGTGCATGCACAGGAAGTTTGTAGCTTTGAGGTCCGGATTATGGACTTCCGGATTAAAGACTTTTGACTGTACTGATGATCCATAAAGGTGAAGGAATGGAATTTGCTCAATTTATGTTTCATTAATTTCTGATAAATATTTTCCTAAGTAAAAGTTAAATATTTAAAAACTGGGAGATTCAGAGATCGACCAGGAAACTGGAAAGTTGATGAAAAACCAGATATTTCCCAATAAAACAAAGAGAGCTGGCGTCTATGCTTTAAGGTACTTGGCATGTTTAAGGCATCTACTGATATAACGCCAACAGTATAATCCATGGCTTTGCCTTTTGCAAAAATTGTGCCAACCCTAGAAACTGTTCCGTACATTTAAGATATTGGAAAGAGAAAAATTTTATAGTTCTTGTTCTCAGTTATTTTCTTCAAGCTAAGCAAGGGTCCAAATGGCCCTTTTTTAATTTTTACTACTTCTATTACTATATTTTACTATTACAATTTTTACTATTTAATTACAGATATTCAAAAGTTCTAAGAAAAAAAATCATATTTTTATTTCTAGAAAGGTTCTAGAAATAAAAAGTCCCAAAAAGTTATAAAAAATTTCTTCCCAAAAAATTCTAGAAAAATCATTTTTTTATTTCATTTTAAATTTTAGTGCAATTTACATCATGCATGTACTAGTAAACGTAGCATGGAGCGCAATGCGACTGAAGGCCGAAACATCCCTGTGATGGGTGTCCAGCAAGAAACATCCGGTCTTTAATACGGGATATGATCTTCCCTGACTGCTAGGCAGGTTTCACAGCGTCTGCCCATGCTGAGAATGAGGGTGTCAATGAGTTGTTGAGGCATTGCTGCCCATTCGCCTTGCAGCGCCAATCGAAGCTCCGCAATCGTTACTGGTGGTAAGGTACGAGCTGCCAAGCGTCTGCCTAGAAAATCCCATACATGCTCGATGGGATTGAGATCCGGAGATCCTGACGGCCAATCCATACGTTCAATATCCTCACTCTCTAAGAGCTGTTGGGCAGCTACTGTGCGATGACATGGTGCATTGTGTCGTCCATGAAAAGGATCTGCGGACCCATAGCGCCTCTAAAAAAGACGCACATATGGAAGAAGAATCTCGTTACAATAACGGGTCCCGTTGACTGAACCTGCGTCGAAGATGTGAAGGTCTGTACGACTACCAAACGAGAACAACCGTCACCCTCCATACCTGTCGCTTTCAATGATGTTCGAGGGTTGATTGCGGCTTCCCCCCCTCTCTCTCCAGATGAGTATGCGATGAGAATCGCTATATATATATATATATATATATACGATTCTCATCATATATATATATACTGAGATATATATATATATATACTGAGAGCAGACTGAATCTGCTCTCATCTGTAAAGAGTACTCGTCCCCATTCATTGTCTCTCCAATTCCGGTGTTCCCGGCACCACAGAGAACGCCTTCTCCGATGCGCAGGCGTTAGAGGTACACACCGTACAGGGCGTCGTGCAAACAGACCACCACCGTGCAGTCTTCTGTCCACGGTAAAAAGCGATATCGGTCGTCCAGTTGCCTGTGTCGTGTGTCTAGCAATTTCTCCCGCTGTCTGCTGCCTGTTTCTTCTGGCCTGTAAGGCAATATACCGGTCATCTGCGGGTGTGGTTCCTCGTGGGCGACCACTACTAAACCCCCGGATAGCTGTTCCTGTAGTTTGAAATTGTCTCCAAAGTCGTGAAACGATGCTGTGAGTGATTCCGAACCCTGCAGCCACACTTGTCACACTGCGGCCTTCCTCCAACTTCCCAATGATTCGACCTTGGGTAAAAGCACCCAGATGTCATTTAACAGATTGATTATTCGCCATTTCTCGCTGAGGCAGCAACTCGGTGTGATTTTAACTGCTATACGGCGTGCAATCTCTTTGCCAGAAATACTGATCTTACACCGACAACATGCTCTATACTACTCAGACACTCCCCCATTACGTTTACCTGCATATCTGCGCATGTGCTACCGTACATCACCTTACTTAATCTCCTGATTTGTCTTTCTGTCCGCTCTGCCTCTTCGTTCAGCTGATATGCTAATTTTTTGACTTTGTCTTTAATTTTTGCACACCAGTGTATTTCTTAACAGAAAAAATATATTTCAAAAAATATAGTCAAAAGGTGCCAATATACTGCTGGCAGTATATTAGATCTGCTGACTAATACTGAATCTATTGTAATTATTTTCAAAGACAACAAAAAAAAAGGATGGGCAAGAAATGCCTCGACTCAGCAACAAAATACAAGCAATGAGACAAACAGAAACATGTAATAAACTAGCATGAAAATCTTATGATACAGTACTTAAGTCCAAAATCCAGACTCGTGGAGACTTTGGCAATTCCAGATTTTTCAGGTACTAGATCATCCGTTTAAATTTAGTGAGAAAACATATTGAAATTATAAAATAAAAAATATGAAATAGTGGTTTATGAAATAATGAAGCACTGATGACCACTAGCGAATCAAAATTTACAAAAAATATTGCTTATTTATTTATTTGCTTTATTAAACATTTCTTTCAACGCAAGTCGTTTAAATTCCTTCATTTTTTGTGTTAATACTTTCTCTTTAATTCTATAAATAAAATATTTCCTATCAGTTACAAAGCTGCGTTCTTCAAGTCCTGTAACTACCATGTTGAAAATTCTCACTAAATTGTCAACTGAAATTTTTTTGTTCTCAGTAACTTCTCTTTCAATTTCTCCACTATCAGTAGCGAAATCTGGATTTAGGACACAGTTAAAAGAGTTAAAGACAAAGGTTCCTATCATATGCCAAAAATTAAATCTGAATTATATTAGTTTAGTTATTTATCATACTTACACCAATTTCCTGCACATGCTTAAGACTTATCTTGAGTCTAGAATAAACAAATTATGACATATACTTGAAGCTTAACCACGGATAGCGCTAGACATTTGGTGTACCAAATTCTGTTGCCGAGTGCCTCCTTAAATCGTAACATTTTACAATCAATAAGTCATCAAAAAATGCATATTAATAAGCTTTTTTAAATGCAAGTTTGTTTGCTAGATGTTCCTTTAATTTTATGATTTTTTGTTTTCCAAAATATTTAAACTATTTAATTTTAATTAAATAATTATTAATTAAACATTTGAGTTGACACATTGTATGGTGATCATTCCAATAAGAAGGAGGTGGTCAGAGAGATTTCCTTGCCAGTTTTTGATAGCTGTAGGTCTGCCAATGTCTATACCTAGTACAGTGATGGCAATTAGTTTCACCATTCTATCAATGCACTGCTGAGTGTTAATAAAACTAATTTATTCACCATAAACCATCACCATAATGAAAAAAAAATCAATATATATATATATTGATAAATTATTTTTTCAAATGTTTGCAAACTTATCATAAAATATATAAAAGGTCATCTAAATAAATGGTGAAAGAATTTGACAGATTCCTTTCCAGAGTGCTAAAAAAGACCTATGAAAGATGAAACTTTTCTTTCATCACATTTCTCACTGCAAATGCATCTAATACTTTAAAACTGCAACAGAAAATACATGCAAAAATATTTTCATAGTTTGAAGTGTTTTTTTTTTTCCTCCAGAAAGGAAAGTTTTTCAGGTATAATATCACGTTTGCAA